GTGTGTGTGTGTGTGTGTGTGTGTGTGTGTGTGTGTGTGTGTGTGTATATATATATATACGTAACTAAAAACGCTGTTCTTACTGTAGATTCTTACCTATATTATACTGTAGAAGAAAATACTGTATTATAGTCAAAATTCGATTAACGTTTTTCGAAGACTAATGGTACAATAATTAACTGAACAAAGAAGGTTGGCGCTGTTAATACATTTCTGTGATTATACTACAATAACTCGTGTACTTCGATAAAATATATATCGTTAGTTTGTATATCACTGCATGTAATTGAGCTCAGGATAATTAAAATTAAAAATAATCGGGTATTTTTGTGCATTAAAAGATGCACGAAACAAATGCTGTAGCAACGGAAAGACAATGATAAATTACAAGTGTCCTATTATATATATCTCACGCTTCATAAATTTTTACAAAATTATGATAACGTTTGAGGGGAAAATTTTGATGATTTCTAGTGCCAAATATCGCGTGCATATAAGTTTAAAAACAATTCAGGTACACGGAATGCGCAAACTGCTCGATTTTAGCGCAGTGCGAAAAAGTGAGGGCTTTGCGCACGGATTAGCATACGTTAAAAAAATTACACCTATAGGTTCAAAACACCCGTTGGGTTGTAAAATGTGCCGTTCTAGTGTAGCATCGTCATCACCCATCTATCAATAAACGATGCGAGTGATGCGTTGCACGTTAAAATTAGTCTCACTCTACGATGTCTCTCGCGCCTGTCCGAATGACTTTTGGGCTGTACACGCGTGGTGCAAGTAAACTCATCACATATACCTATATACGTGGCATCGAAACACCACCCAAATTAACTCACGTGACTATTGAGTAAAGCCTTCATCGATAAAGATGAGCATACAATTACCTACGTTTCACTTTGTACTGTGAGTGCTGACATGCCACCCTGGCGTTCAAACGTAGCAGCACAACTTGGGTATACTATACTTAGTCGTTGTCAGTTGACCAACGTGAGTCGTCACGCGTGGGCTAATAGACGGTTTCGTCCTAATTGGGCCTCTTAACGATTTTGAAAAAAATCTCGTTAAAGAGAATAGAGCAAAGGAGGTATAACGCAATGCGAGACGCAATGGTGGAGATGAACTCTTCGAGTATTATGTGCATCAAGTGCCTACTATTTTTCATCAACTTACTTCTCATGGTCAGTATATAATTAATAACAAGTGTTCAAGTATCTTTATTTATTTATTTTTTTTTTGCTTTACCTTTGTTACTACCACGAGTGTATATACACTGGACATCGGTATCGAAATCGGTATCGCTGGGATTTAAAGTCTCACACTCACCTTTGGCCAAAATGGGCCGTAAAGTCTGTACCAAAAAAATTTTAAACGTGGCAATGCGATGAAGCAATGGAGAGAAAAGCCTCACATCGGTATAATATATTCAATTAACTTTACCGCCTTATTGGGTGCGTGGTTTTTCTGTTTTTGGGCGCGCAATAGTGTAAAGACGACTAAAAATGTACCCCCTTTTGTCACGAGAACGAAAGAAGTTTTGTTTGGTCGATTCGGTGCTTACGAAAGAAAGCCTACGAAAAACTGATATGACTTGGTTATTTTTGTGCGTTATCTAAAACGCATTAATAGAACATGTGTCGGTTATATGTTATATATTGGACGTACAAAAGAATATCAAAAATGTTTTTGTGTATGTACCTATCTTGACTGCAGTTGAAAAATATCCAAATACTCATCGAATTCATCGCAATGCCATATTATTGTGCAAAGTATTGGATCGATCAGCCAATTTTGAGTATAGAGTACGCCTAGATTGATCCCAGGGAACCCCGGTAAACGGAGGATTAAATTTTTTTTTTTTTTTTTTTTTTTTTTTTTTTTTGACGCAACAAGTGCATGCAACAAGTTAATTGTATTGTATCCAAGCTTCGGTGAATTGTATATCAAAGGATAAACATGATTTCAATTAACAAAAGTGAGAAAAATTTTCGAATCCAAGTGGCAACGTGAGTCCGAGTTGTTCAAGCTTCATCTTCGTCAACTCCGTGTTGTCTCCGACCTGGGGGGTAATTGGGTTTATAAAAATGAAAATAAATACACATTGGTTTGGTTTTAATATTTGTACAGTTGGCCGGTGCAATGGTGGCTTTCATGGGCATGGGCCTCTACGATTTGCACGACACCTCGCCGTACTTTTTCGACTTTACCCATAAATTGCCAGCCTTTTTCACCATCGGCTTCGGAGTATTCATCTTCATCGTAGCCATTATTGGCTTCTTCGGCGTGTTCAAAGACAGCACTCGGATTATGAAGGCCGTAAGTATTTGAAGTATGAAGGCCGTAACAGCGGATATATATATATATATGATCTCCAACACCCGTCCGTTTTTCATTTTTACTTGCAGTTTGTGTTGTCCCTCGCAGCGGCGGTACTTCTTGGATTTTCGGCATCACTGGTTACTTTCGTTTTCCACGACGAAATAGCCGATATAATAGGCGACAAAATCACTAACGGCATGCCCCGGTACGAAAATAGCACAGATGTCAAAAATGCCTTCGACTCCTTACACAACAACGTAAGTGAATATTGAGCAAACGGAGCACTGCCAATTCACACTTTTATCTTCCCTACGAAATTTTTGTATTCGAGATATATAGGATCAACTGTACGGTAACAAAGTATTTAGAAGTATATGATTGTGATGGCAGTACGGCACCTAATGGCATTGTCATGTATAAAAACGACAATTTATGCTTTTTTTTTTTTTTTCTTCTAAATCCCAACAGTTGCAGTGTTGCGGATACAGGGGACCGGCTGACTGGGGAAACATATTGACGAACGGAAGCTCTCCGTACGAACCGCCAAAATCTTGCTGCGCTACGTTTGAGACCTTTTACGTGAAGTTGTCCAACGAGCTCGAATGCAAAGAATTTTATCTGACAGGCTGTGGCAAAAAAACGGCTCATCTGATATACACTATTGTCCTTGTGTCGCTTGTCGTAGAATCTGTGCTTGTTTCCATTAAGGTGATGGATAATTTTCATTTTTTCGACAAAATCATTCTTTTTCTTTTTTGGGTAATCGAAAAAGTTGTTTTTTTTTTCAGACTATCGGAATAATATTGGGTTGCGCGCTGTGGCATAACATTAGGATGCAAAAGTGGAAACGAGACGAGGGACGAAGGTGTCGGCTAGAAAAATCGACAAACACCTACAAACCTTTGGACAAAGCGGAGCCCATTGATACTTTTTCGATCGTTTACATGAAGAACAACGGAGTTTACCACGAAACGACTGATTCGATCTAACCAAAAAAAAATTGTCGATTTGTATTTTGTTTATTTTGTGTTTTTAATACGAGTACAATTTTTTTTTTTTTTTTTTTTTTTTGTTGCTTTTATCATAAAATAAATAATAAAATGAAGATTGCTCATTTTTTTTTTTTCATGCCAAACTTTGTGTGACAATAGTTAATATCCCAACAAAATTGGGACGATCGAGAATTTTTTTTCAATTCAAGACTTCTTAATAATTAATGTAACTTTTTTTTCAAGATATTACAGATTGTGTTTTGAGGATTGTTGGTTTTTGGTCCCGGTTGATTTGAAATATACTTTGTAAAATTATGGTTTATCGTGAAAACTCTTTTGAATTGAAGAGTTACAGTCGCTTTTACAAGGTACCTGTAAAATTTGTAAATAAAAAAAAAACTTCATTTTAAAACACTTGACACAAATTAATTTTTTAACGAATAGATACATTTCAATGTACACAAAGTTATAACGTCAAAATAAAACGTACTAAATAGACAGTTGTATTCACATGTCTGGAATAATATCATTTTGAAGGAAAAATGATATCGTAAGTATCAACAAAATAGTTTTTTGTACATGAAGAGGGAGACCACTTATTTGTGATACTTACGCAATCGTACCAACTTCTTACCTCGATTGCAATTTTTAGTTTTAGTCCTCGAAAATAATATGAATTTTTCATCGGAAACTGCTCTAGCAGTTAATTAGTAACATGTATCGGTGACTAGATCTCTGTGATTTTCAATTTTGATAAATAAAGCGATGTATAAAAAAAATACACATAAATTTTTCCACTATCCGCGAAAAATCTATACCCCCCTAGCGAGCTATGAAATTTTGTTTTAACATCAAAAATCATAGATAAACCAATAATTTTCTTTATTTCGAAAATTTTAAAACAAAAAGCCGGCAAACGGATTCACTCACTCAACTTGTACGTCGAAGCTACTATCATTGCTTTTGTTCATGTAAAAAAGTTTTCTTTGTTTTCACAGTTTGTGTGTTTTCTTGAAGATTCTTTTTGTCAAACATTGCAAAAATTATTCTCATTTTAAATAGAAAAAAAAAAAAACATGGTAAGGATTAGAATTCGAGGTTGCTTTAAATTTTCGAGCGGACGTAAATATCAAGTGCTTGACATGCTTAAGAAATTTTTCTACGAACTAGTTAACTGATTTTCCAAAAACAAAATCATTACTCTAATGGTTCTTGTTCACACTATCGCCTGTCACGCTGTGATAATCGTATACACGTCTATTATCAGAATAGTTTTAACACAAACTTTCTTTTGTCAGCTGCAATGTGGCGACATCCAGTGACTCCCCAACGTTGAAAAATTTCTTCCGAAAAATCATCAAGTAAGCCCGTCATTGGACAGCACATTTTGTGAAGTGTTGAAACATAAGTACACCTACGTAGCACGTTGTATTCGTCCACATTTCGAGTCTTTCGACCTTCCGGACAACGTGAGTCTACAGGCTTCAAATCGTGTAAGCATTTTGAAAACTTAACACATTATGAGTTTTCGTGTTCTTGCAAGCCAAAACCCATCGAATGGCGAGCATTTTTTTTTATTTTTTCATATCTATAGACTACGATTAAATTAAAAAAAAAAAAAAAAAACACACGTATGAGTGTATAAATAACTGAATATTGTGATGCGTCGTCGTGACTGTCATGACAGTTAGTAAAAAATATGTCTTGAGTATGTTATTGGGACATTGATTTCAATTTTCGAATTTCAGTCGAGTCTCCGCCTCTGCAACAGTAACAGGCTTTAGTTAATCGGTGCACCAAGTGGTCGCGCGGTTGTAGTCGTATTTTCGTCCATTTTAATATTTTACCTATACACCGTATCAGGCAATAATTTTAACTAAAACAAGATATTAATATATGTGTGTATAGTATATGACTCGTAGTGGCTAAATTAGTAGCTACATAGAAAATAGGTGGGGTTTTTATTTTGTTATTGGTTTTTTTTTAATTTTAGTTTTTTTTTTTTTTTTTTTTTCAAGCAAAAGAGACACGCAAGTAAAGTGAAAGAAGCATACGATGACAGAACCAACAGCACTACAACGCAGTCCGAAAATTCGGCTCTTCAAGTTGAGGCTCTGGGCTATTAACCTTGTTCTGATGGTCAGTAAACATTTATCTATATCATTTTTTTAAGTGTTTCAACATCAACATAAGCTAGTTTTTGCCCAACTTTACAGTTAACACGAGATTGTGTGTATTACGTTGCTGGCCTAAAAGGGTATTATTATTATTATTTTTTTTTTTTTTGTGCCCCTTTCAACATGTGAGCATAAAAATAACACCATTCGAACGGTAGAATGTATCTCGTTAATGAGTTTCAAATATATATTGCGTCCTATTTATAAATAATACGATGATACGTTCAACCGTTTGCCGCACGAAACATGTATAGGTATCAATCACAGAAAATAGCGGGAAATGTTGTTTTCTCCTTTTTTTTTAAAGTAAAGAAGTCGACTATCCTGAAAAAAGCAAATAATTTTCCATTGACTCCCACAACTTTGCAGGTGACCAGTGGAATAGCCATTTGGTTCAGCTACTTCGTCGTCCACGACAAGGAGAACATCGTCTACCATTTCGCCATCTTCGGTCCCATCCAACCCAGCACCTTCCTCCTCACTCTTGGGGTTTTGGTTCTGCTCACGGGGATTTTCGGGTGCTACAGCACCCTCGAAGAAAGCGCCAAGTTAACCTGGATCGTGAGTCCTCGATTTTCCCACGAAACCCCCTTTTACGACACGATTAAGGTGCATACTGGTTTTTGTTCTCAGTACGCCTTGTCCCTGGCGGTCCTGCTGATCTTGGAGTTCGCCGCGTCGGTGGCTGCCCTCGCCTCCCGCGACTACTTTGTCGAACTGATGAGGAACGGCGTGAAGGACGAGCTGCCTCGGTACCACAAGAGCACCCCGCAGGCCCAGCATGCCGTGGACTTGATACAAAGAGAAGTGAGCACCTTGAGCTCCATCGAGCGTTGTACTGCTGTACCGGTAACTCTTTAACCGATTTTTTTTTGTTCCACAGTTGTACTGTTGCGGGTACGAGGGACCAAATAACTGGAACGAAACATCGCCGAGAGGTGACTTCACGAATGAGAACAGCATACCCAGTTCGTGCTGTGGCTTCGAAGTTGGGAGGGCTTGTACGAAAATCGCGGCTTACACGGATGGGTGTAAGAGTAAAATTGCCAAAGCCGTGTACGACGTTTCGCTGACCTTGCTCCTCGGATCGGCGCTCATTGCTCTCGTACAGGTGAGATGATGTTACATTTTTTAGCGATTCGATGACCGTTTGTGCGGAGAACAGTCCACGGGTGAGACGATTGTTTTTTTCTTTTTCGCAGATCGGCGGGGTGATTTGCGCTTACAAGCTGGGACGTTTGATCAGGAAAAACAAGTCGGAGTCGGTTGTAGCAACAAATTCAAACGAAAATGCCGATCCCTCGGACTTGGTCATCTGGAAAAAACACACTCAGACGATTTATTTATGAAAAATGCATTTTTAACTGACAAGTAGATGAAAGAAAGACGAATCAAGTCATATGATTTTCTCCTCCCCCTTTGAGATGGAAAACGTCAGTTTTACCGATCTATTTTTTTTTTTTTGTTTTTTTTTTTATGATTTAATTTGAATAATACTGCACCTAATATATTTTATTGATATATTGTAAAATAAATTGTACTTTGTCATAATATAACGAAGAGTCGTATTTTTGTAACATTTTCAAAAGTATCAAAAGGAGCCCGTCCTCTCCCTTCGTCCCACAGGCTATGAAAGTTGTGGCAAAATATTAAATCGTAAGAGTTATTGGAGCTGCAAATCAATAACTTGGACCAAAAAAATGATGTACAATCAAAATAAATAGTGGAAGGCTCGATCGGCTCGAAACCAACGATTCATTCGGATGGAAAGAATTTAAACGATTACACAATTGGAGTCACACACACACGAGTCTGCGTATGAGAGCAAATTTACGCATTTTAATACATTCATCGGTCGATATTCGATCAATATGTTTACTTTACCGTATATATACACTTATATAAATACTCGTACAACGAGTATATTATTAAAGGATGTACTCGAGTGATCCAAAAGACGGTACGTATACGGTTAATAGCCAACAACCGTGTATAATGTATATTATGTAAAAAAAAAAAAAAAAAAAAAAAAAATTGCCTACAGTCTTACATTCCGAGGAATGATTCGGCAAATATTTTTATTTTCCACGACACACAGTCATATATGTACGGAATGAGTGAGGTGTATATGTAGGCATGAAGAGCGTGGTATAGGTGTTCTTGCACTCACACGCGCCGATTTATCAGACCAACCGACGTGCGGAAGATAAGCTCGCAGGTACATTGCAAGTATACGTGTATTAGACTGGCGCATATATGCCGCCATGTAAAAGCATGTATAAGTGCTAATATTCAAAATAATATGTATACGTTTGTAGGTGCCAACTTGTAATACGTATACGATGTAAACGGGCATTGTAAGGTATAGGAAGAATAATCTATTGTAAGTTGAGTTCGTGATATATATACACCAGAGAGGTGCGCTCATTAAGATAGCATCATCCTCGGGAGGGGGACAAGGTCGACGCGCGCAGCGGTAGTTCGTCGATGAGCGTCGTCACGCGCGGACTGCTGCCGATTTCCTACCGATTTAATTGATCTTTATTTATTTATATTTTTCTTCTTCTTTTTCTTGTCACCTTTCAACACAAGAGCAGTTTCCAAGGGACAATGGCAGCGCCAGTCACGCATCTCGATGTCGGCATGCGCTGCATCAAGTGTCTACTATGTGCTGTCAATTTCGTTTTTGTGGTCGGTATCTTTCAGTACTTTTTTTTTTTTTTTTCATAATGCGAGTAAATAATATTGTTGTGCATATTGTGTGGGTGCGTGTGTATGTTTTATCGTTCATCATTTATCCAGGAGAGTCGGAAAAATCTATATATTAATTTATTGACGCCAAAAGTAAATACGAACTCTTGATGTCAGTGGTAGGTAAAAAGGAAAAGTCGTGTTAAAGTTTATTGCGTTCTTTGGAGTAACGCATTCATTTTTTTTACTCGAGGAGTCACAGCGAGGGATGTGATCTACTTGGAGAGAGGCTATCGGAAAAATCTCGGTTTTTAATTGCCGCTAAGCGTGACGTAACGAGCTATTTTTACCGATAATGGATATACGCTTTTTTTTTTTTTTCACTTTTCCCGTCGATGATTCGTAAAGTACACATAGAACTCAAAGTTACGAGTCGGCAGCTTGGCGGAAACGCGCCTCGGCCTTTTGTCGAAGTTAATCAGTGCAGTGGGCGCGGTTAGAGTGCCAATTCGCTTGTATTGGGGTTCGGTCTTTGCAGGTCTTCGAAGCAATGCAACAAAAAATTCAATGTCCCACGTACACGGGACTGTTGAAATGTTATGTACGACGTCAAAGTGAGTTTTTCGCGATGGGTGAGTGAATCGGTGACTTTTTTCAAAAATCAATGAAAACCGGGGAACACGTATTTACCGATGTATAAAATATATTGCCTCTTACAAATTTTGTTTTAAATCGCGGAAAAATGAAGATACATTGAGGTAACGATGTTTTCTTCATTTGTTGTCATTACATCTGTTTCAACACTGCAGTGTGCACATTGTGGCGATGTGCAAGTGTAACAATAGCTGTACATGTACACCTATATAGTAACAATAGATTATGCGCTCGGTTTGTAGAAAATTGAGCACTTCCTTGTTTTTTTTATTTATTTTTTTACCTACGACATACTGCGCCGTATATTCTGCGTCACGTTTGTGGGAATAAATTTATTTCATTTTTTTTCCAACTAAAGAGACGAATGTCGTAGCGCTGAAAAAATCTAGTTTTTTTTTTTTTTTTTTCTTCTCACCTTTTCACTTTAGCAAAGAGGAGAGTGAAGGAAGGGATACGAAGAAAAAGATTGGATGTATTTGTAGATGTAAGTCACACACGCGTGCTTATCTTTATGATTAACGCGCTCTCGATGTATACGTATATACACGTACACACGTGTGCATTGGTGGGTGCGTGTGTGTAACCACTGCGATTACTAATAACTTTAAATATATAGATCTACGCAAAAGCCTGATAATACTCGTGACTAAACGTCGAAACGTGTATACTATTTGTAAAATCTGTTGTTGAGGCATACTTTCAACTGTCACTACCATTTTGTCAATGCGCCGATTTTACCAATAAACGAAACGACTATGTTGATTAATTTTTTGAATCAACACGCACACTTGTGTCGAGGGACGCCCGTGCATTGCGTTTTATTGATCCTCCGGGACGAACAATTGAATGAAAAAATCGTTAGCCTCCCCCCGCCCCCACCTCCTCTAGAAAATCAATAAAACGCGACAATGGTGGTGGGCGAAAGAAAACAAAAATTCCAAAACTAATGGTGCCAGAAAATGCCAAACAGGTGTTGAAGTGCTGTAACGGAACTTTAGCACGGGTACATTTTCAATTTTTTTTTTTTTTTTTATCATCACCTATACTTGCAGCATAACAACGGAAGATGCGCAGAGATTGAGTGAAAAAAAAAAAAAAAAAAATCGGTAACAAACGGCATCCGCTAGTCTTTAATGACACTTGAGAAAAAAAAATGGCCAAATGTACAAGGACCATTGCGTGCTGACGAGCCCCGAATTTTGTTGCAGCTCACCGGCATCCTAATACTCTCGATGAGCCGCGTCATCTACGACATATACAACAACTTCTCGTACTTCCTGGACTCGAGTTACTTCTCGCCCGCCACCGTCCTCGTCACCGTCGGCGTGTTCATCATCATCGTGGCCTCCCTCGGCTGCTACGGCGCCCTCAAGGAGAGCACCTTCTTGGTTCTGGCCGTAAGTATATTATACAACGACGAGGCACGGCCTAACAAGTACATATATATATCCTTTTTTTTCACCCATATCCCCGCAGTTTGCGTTTGCTCTGTCGGTGGTGCTCGTCCTCGAGTTCGCTGCAGCCATCGCCGCGTACGTCCTCCAAGCCGACATAGTTGCCCTCCTTAACGACAAGATCAATCGCACCATGCACCAGTACGACGACAACCTCGACGCCAAAGCGGCCATAGACTCCTTGCAGTACAACGTGAGAGCAACTACACATCGTCATACATTTTATATACTTATCACATATTATATTGTAATGGCCATTTTTTTTATTTATTTATTTATTTTTTTTCCCCCGTGACAAACAGTTGCAGTGCTGCGGATACAATGGGCCGAGCGACTGGGTGGACGTGGGTTTGCGCACCTCGCACGTGTACAACGCCCCGGACTCTTGCTACTGGCACTGTCACGCCGACAATGGGGGCCCGTTCAGTTATCAGTGCGCCGATCCGGAGGGCTGCCACGAAAAATTGGCCCACCTCGTCAACTGCAGCGCGGCTTACCTCATCACCGGGGCCACCATGATTGCCCTCATACAGGTACATCGATGCCTGAAATATATTATATATGTATATATGGTTGATCGAGAGAGGAGCGCATCATGTCATTTTGGTTGTTTTTTCTTCTTCATTTGCAGGTGGCGGGAATAATGTTTGCTTGCAAACTGGGGCGCGCGATAAGGAAGCAGAAGACGCTGCGGGAGATGCGCAGGTGGCAGATGCGGGCTAGCCTCCTGAACGGGTACGTGCCTCTGGGCAAGACGGACCCGACCTCGACCTACCCGGTCGTCTACATGAAGACATAAATAAATTAATTAATTAAAAAAGGGACGTTTTGCGCTTGCCGATAGCTAAATGTATGGTGTGTGCAGGCTGTTACGAGTCTTTTTGGATGTTTATAAATCCAAGGATGTACTTACGTGTGGCCTTTTTTTTGTTGTAAACGAGAAATTGAAGGAATTCGCGTTGTGATGATTCTTTTTTTTTTTTTACATTCGCCAACGGATTGTTATCATATCCGAGAGATTCTCGAAAGACAATAGGTGCATTGGGAAATTGTCGACGAGAATACAATAATATGGTTCACGACTTGTCGATTATTTTCGTGTATTATGCGGGTATAACAGTTCAGAGAAACCGAATGAGCAGTGTAAGTATAGGTATATCTTAACAGTGGATCAACACATCCGTTTGATTATTTTTAATCAAGTGTCGTCAATGACCGCTTCAACGCTTACCTGATGTCAGTAAAGTGAGCAGCGTTTCGTTAAACATTTTTCAATCCAACTCACGTGACTGAATGTTTAAGAAAAAATAAAAACAAAAACAAAAAAAATGTTGAAATTTGCCCGAGAAAAGGAAATAAGAAAAACGGTACATATAAAAATATCGCATTGGGGTCTGGAACGCGTCGTTTATCATTAAAATCATGATAAAGATAACGTGATAACGGCGAGCTACAACAATAGGCTCTGCACGAAAGAGCCTTTATCTCGGAACGTTTCATAAAAAAAAAACAAAAAAAAAAAAAAAAAATATCGTTGCTGCTGATCGTATCAAAGACGGTAAGTGTTGCGCCACCAGTAGGTATTCGCGCAGGCTCGGAAGACACACACGTCTGGCATATTGTCACAGCTTTCTTATCAGGGCGTCAAGTCGCGCTCGTTTCGACGCTACGTTCACGGGCTGCTTTGTTCCATTTTCTCGTTGTTTTTAATGATTTAACGTTTATTGTTTTTAAAATGACGTTCGAGAAGGACAGACGTGCGAGGAGAGCCATGGCTTCGAACGACCTTGAGATCGGCATGCGCTGCGTCAAGTACCTGCTCTGCGCCGTTAATTTTTTATTTGTGGTCAGTACAATCCTTGTCAATCAACCCGTCCAACTTTGTTCTTATAACCGTAAAATCATACCATCGCTTTCACCAATTTAATTCAGTTTCATCGAAATTCCGCGTTATCTCGAGTGTGACGCATTTCGTGTGGCTTTTGTCATCATTCGTCCCGTAGGCTTTACAAGAATTGTATAAAGTAAACAGTGACGATAATTACTCGGATAAAAGACAAATGCATTACAAAGTATCTTTTTTCGAACGATATTTTAAACAATTGTTTAGATAAATTTAAAAAATAAATACTTAAATGTGTTTATACCAAAAAAATATGTTGATCTGATTATTTGAAAATTGTAATTTAAAATATGTGCAACTTTAACTCAACAAAAACGAATTTTCAATGTTGAATGTGCTTACAGATATGGCTATTACAGTAGAAATAAAACATCAGAAAAGTTGCAAAATTGTGGCAATGAAAAAGATGAATTTAAAGAAAAGTTCGCTTCGTTTGTACCTTTATATCCCAGATCCCCATTTCTTTCCTGCAAATCACAATGAAAAGAAAGGTGTGTCGATTAAACTGGAGGAGCGAAATGAAAAATAATCTCACGGTCTTTGTCACGATTATAGTTGACAGGTGTAGCCATTATTGCAATGGGCTCGACCATATTTACCATGTACGAGGATTTTTCTTACTTCTTGGACGCCCGATACTTTTCCCCGGCGATGCTCCTCGTCGCCGTTGGAGTAGCCATCTTTGTCGTGGCCTTTTTCGGCTGCTGCGGAGCACTCAGGGAAAGTACTTGCATGGTTCTGGTGGTTGGTATCTACAATATATTATACTTACATAAAAATGGAAAAAAAAAAAAAAAAAAAAAACACTAATTCTAATAAAATCGGTTGACCAATAGTTTGCAGTGTCGCTGTTTATGATATTGTTCTTGGAATTTTCGGCTGCCCTGGCATCTTACGCCTACAGGGACGTTATTATTAACGTTATTGACGCAAAGATCGATCAAACGATGCACATGTACGAAAGCAATGTCGAAGCCAAGAGGGCCATTGATTGTTTGCAAACACAGGCATGTATACATATACCTATGAAAGATTTCGTCAACGTATGATATACCGTTATACCGATCTTAAGGGAGATAAATCATTGTCGTCACTACCATAATCCCCCGTAAGATTGTCACGACGACTTTTTACTTTTAAAAATCTCTTTATTTATTACTTTTGATTACAGAGTATATACATAATTTCACTTGGTGATTAGTATGCTGTATTGTAATTTTTGTGTTAGTTTTAGGTTCAGCTGTTGGCGCTTTTACTCTAAGTTAATATTTTGTTTTTGATTTTATGAATTATGAACGATATATGAATGTTACTTATTATGGTTTGTGGGTTTTGTGAAAAAGGATTTGGTAAAAAACACATTAATTTTGTTTGGCCTTACTTACTAGAGCTTAAAACTAGGTAACAAGAGAACTTACTGACTAGCGTATTGCTGCTCCTGATGGTCACTGCGCAGCAAATGGTAGGGTAGTTTGTGTTTAATTTTAAATGGTGCATTTTCTTTGTTATAAAATTTAAAGTCTGCGAGGGCGTCTGCCTTGTGCAACTGATATTTGTAAAATTTATTGGTGTGATCAAGTACTATTTCTTTGATTGTCTTTATTCTGAGTTGATTCCTAATTTTTTTATTGCTAGTTCTGGGTTCGGCATTAATTATTTTCCTTAGTATTTTGTTTTGGATTATTTCTAGTTTATAATAGTTGCTTTCACAAGTATTGCTCCACACCGGTGAGGCGTACAATAGCACAGGTCGTATAATCACTTTGTAAATTAATAACTTATTTTTAATTGACATTTTGCTTTTCCTATTAAGTAGGTTGTGTAAGAGCGCTGATGCTGCTTGTCCTTTTTTTCGGATATTTTGGATATGTTTTGTATATGTAAGACCCTTGTCTAGTGTTACTCCTAGGTATTTCACTTGCGTGGTAGGTTTGATTTTAGTTCCATTCATGTCTATGTAAGCATTTTTATCGCATGGCTTATCTTTGCGTTTGCTGAATATAATTAGTTCGGTTTTTTTATCGTTAATTTTTATTTTCCATTTTTCGAAGTATTTACGCATAATGGTTATATGCCTTTGTATATATTCAATTGCTTTCTTTTTTGACCAGGAGGAGGCCAGGATCGCTGTATCATCTGCAAATAATGCTAGGCTTGTATTTGTATGCTTCGGTATGTTATTAATGTAATATAAAAAGAGTATTGGTCCTAGGATAGACCCCTGTGGGACTCCAGCATGTATGTTTTGTAAACTAGAATTATGATTTTTGACTGAGACTGTAAAGGTGCGATTTTTAAGATACGAATAAAGAACTTTATTTATACATAATGGTATGCCGACCTTGTTAAGTTTGAATATCAAACCTTCATGCCACACGGTGTCAAAAGCTTTTTCGATATCTAAAAGGAGCATGGCAGTTGATCTGTTTAGATTATAATTTGTTGAGATTTCATTTGTAATTCTAGCGAGTTGTTGTATTGTACTATGATGGTGTTTGAATCCAAATTGTTCTTTTATTATGTTTTTATTTTTTGCTTCAAAGCTACGAATTCTATTTAGTATTATTGTTTCAAAGATTTTGCTGTGAGTGCACAGGAGGCTAATAGGCCTGTAATTTTGGGGAAAATTTTTTTCTTTTCCAGGTTTAGGAAAGGCCAATATGTTAGCATTTTTCCACGCTTTCGGAAAATATGAATGTTTAAGACAGCTATTAAAAATATATATTAGACACACGATTGCTTTGCGAGGAAAGTTTTTTAATATTATATTTTGGATCCCGTCCTCTCCTGGGGCCTTTTTTGGTCTTGTATTTTTGATAGCTTTAATTATTTCACCGTAGGAGACAAGCTCTATGGTGTCGGTATCTACGTCGCTATTTACAATGTTGGTTACGTTATTTTTGACAAAATCATCGAAGTTTTCTGTGCCGAAGTGATCGGTTAGGTGATGTACCCTTTCGAATTGCCGCGCGAGTACATCCGCTTTCCCTTGGGAGCTGAAGACTAGTCCTTGTGGGCCATGAAGTGGTGGAATTTTTGAATCTCTTTTTTTTGTAAAATATTTTGTCATTTTCCATAGTGTGTTGTCTTGGACTTTGAGTGTTGTTAGTTTATTATCCCAGTTTTTATTATTTCTATTTTTAATTTTTTCAGTAATAAGCTTTGCAAGTTGATTTCTAGAATATTTAATTTGTTTTTTTTCGTCTAAGTTTTTGGCCTTATTGAATTGTTTTCTTAAACTATTTCTTTGTTTAATTAGATTTTTCGTTTCTGGATCTATGTTATTTACATTAAAATTTTCATAATTTCTGGGTATCGACTTCTCCATGGCCCACTTGACGTCATCTGTTAGCTTTTTGACGCACATATCGATATCCTCTATGCTCGCTGGTTTACAATTTAAGTTAATGCTATTACTTAATAATTCACGAAATTTTCGCCAATCAGCTTTTTTATAATTTAGATAACTCGATTTTGTTTTACTATATTTGACTTTGAAATTTATATTGACCAGCACCGGTAGATGGTTAGAGTTAAGTTCGTTAAGGACTTCTATATCATATGAAAAATTTTCGGTTTTAATTAGCGTTAGATCTATCGTGCTAGGCAAGTAATCATTATCAGGAAAGTGTGTGTGACCATCGGGGAACAGTAATACGTACGAATTTTTGATGATGTAGTCCTGGAGCTTGTTTCCGTTTGGATTGGACCTTTCGCAGTTCCAGTCTGCATGTTTACAGTTGAAGTCGCCGGCGATGATGACCGATGAGGACAGCCTGAAGATTTGATCGAGTTCGTCTTCCAGGAGTTTGGATTTTGGTGGCAGGTAGGCAGCCACAATCACTGTACGATTGTCTAGCTGCACTCCCACAGCTTCCAGGTTGAGTGTATTTATGGGTACCTCGGTTACGTTGATGTCCTTTTTGACGCATATCATGACTCCGCCTCCGGTTGTGGTGCTCGTCCTGTCTTTGCGGTATATGTCATATCCTGGTATGCTGCAGGTTGACGCTTTCTTTTCATTTCGGTTGAACTTTGTTTCACTCACTATCATAATGTCTATTTCGTGATCTTGAATGAATTCTTTGAGCTCAGTGAGTTTTTCTTGGATGCTATTTGCGTTCCAATGTGATATGGTAATTCGATTTATGGAAAAATTTTTACTTTTCATGTTCATGCTGTAAGGTGTTATGCAGCTGTTCTGCATCAGATGTGAATTTTTCGATGGCTACGGTCATAGCGTCTAGGTTAAAGCGTTGTTTGAGATTTTGCACTGCTTTTATGAGTCTTAGGATTTTATCAAGATCTGAAGAAAGTTCCTGTATTGTTTCGACATCAATTTCTGTTTGTTTGTTCCAGGCTGTATGTGTGGTTGCGGTTTTTCCGGCCAATGTAGGAAAATTAATGTGGTTGTTGCTGGGTGGCTCGGGGGCCTTTTTTGTTGTATTTTGTGTTCTTTGCTTATTCCTGTTGTTTTTAATTGTCGTAATCCTGTCTTGATACACTTTACATAACCTACTATTAGCTCGATGTTCTTCTCCACAGTTAACACAATGAGGTTTTGTTTCTTTGTCTTTCTTGCATTCGGCTGTTATGTGCTTTTGGTCGCATTTTACACATCTAGGAGGATTGTTACAGTTTTGAGAGCCGTGGCCAAACCTTTGGCAGCGATGGCACTGGGTCGCTCCTTTGGAATTTTTGTATTTTTCCCAGTACACTCTTGTGTAGCAGATGTGCTTTATTCGTTTTACTTCGCTGATGTCGGTACCTCCGTAGAAAGAGGCCATGTATAGTGGAGCTATATATGGTGGCGGCGCTTTCTGCTTCATCATGGCTATTCTTGTGCAGCCATAACCTTTGTTATTTAGGTCGTCTTGGATTTCTTTAGTATCCATGCTAGGAAGGCCCTTGATTACTAAGTGTTTGATTTTTTCACTTTCGTTTGTGTACGTGTAGTACGAGTAGTTTTTTTCTTTTAGTGTCGCCTGAATCAGGTTATAGCTTGCCTTGCTCTCAAGGAAGATTTTTAAGCCGTCCTTGGTATGTTGGAAAATGGCTTCGCCGTTGGCTAGATCTCTTATTGCTTTGATGAATCCGCTAAAGTTGTTGACTTGTGTGGTGACCACTATTGGTGGGACTCTGTCTTTTTTTTGATGTTTTGTTTCTTTTATTATTTTGTTTGGTGTTGTTACCCTTGGAATTTTTTTTTCTTTTTCTTTGTCGTTGGTTTGGTTTCTGGTGCTCTCATCGCTAGAGGAGTTGGCATCCATGTCTTCGTTTTCGTTGTCAGAGAGTAGGTTGAATCTGTTTTGAGTTTTAACATGGTGTTTCGAGTTGGATTTGTCTTCCATTTTGCTGGTTGAGTGTCTCTTCAATGTCCTTCTGGTTAGTACTTTCGCGCTTCCATGCGCTTCGTCCTTCATGGGGAGCGATATGGAGATGATATTTTCACTATTATTTACTATTGATGCTGCCACAACGGCATTTAAGCCTGGTGCGCTTGCGACGCTCGCGCTCGGAAACACCGGAACACTCGCCACGCTAGGGGGGGATACGTCCACACTCGACGCGCGCTCGACGAGCACTCGATTCAATGTTCGCAGATGGTAATGCGCCCCCTTTTTATACGCTCGAGAATGGGCTAGGAAGTAAGGTAGANCCCCCCCAATGACTTAATATGAAGAAATAGTCAACTTATTCATGCACACTCGGCTTGTCCTCTTTTTAAAACTTAGTTTAAAATGCCCTTGATTCGAAATTCTAGGAAAAAAGTTAAATAAGTTGAAATGGTCGAATAAAACGGCCCAATGACACGTTATGTGCGAAGTACAAAATCTACTTACGAAAAAGTCGCATTGTCTTAAATATTTGGATTTCCCGCGTGACGGATCGATGTCGGTCCATTTGGAGTTCAGCGCCATCTATCGGGACTAGTGTTTTTTTTTTATATTTTTTAACTCGGTTAAAAAGAATGGGTTGCCCCGTTACTCGGGCGCCCGAAGTAAAAAACGTCCGTAGGGCGTATAGGGTATGGGTCCGATTGGGGATTGGGGCTTCGTCGCCGGCCCTCGCTCTTGTGTGCATTTCAATCAACGCCATCTAGCGTGCGATTTTTCTCGTCGCTCCTAAACCGTACTGACGTTTTTTTGTTTTCGGTGACGAAGAAAAGCACAACTCAGATTTTGCCGTTTGAAATGACATGGAGAAATATGAGTTAAGCTTTTCTTCGTCCACTGACAAACATTGGCTATATTCGATGCTCCGGACACCCTACGGACATTTTTTTGCTTTGACATACAAGAGCGAAGGTCACCGATGAAGCTGGATCATCCCCGAGGCAAAAAAACGTCCGTAGGGCGTCCGGGCCGTCGAATATAGCCTGTGTTCATCAGTGGACGAAGAAAAGCACTACTCAGATTTCTCCATGTCATTTTAAATAGCGAAATCAGAGTTATGCTTTTCTTGGTCACCCGAATCGGGCATGCGTAGACTTGCCATTTTTTTCATTCTTCGGTACCCGGGGTCCGGCCCGGCACAGCCCGGACAGTAATGGCGGTGATTTGACGATGATTATTTCAATAATGGGGTGATATTTGGTTATTTCATTGCAGTTTTCTGGAATAATATTTGCCTGTCTGTTGGGCCGCTCAATACGATATCAAAAAACCATGAGAGAAGTGAGACGTTGGCAGAATTACAACCCTTCTCCGATGCTGCATTAACCCTTTACATGAGTTTCTTCACACATTAGTCATATTTGCAAATAATGTGTATTACAGAATGAGTAAGTTAAGTGTTTCTGTAATTAAAGGTCTTGGTAATAAATTTGTAATGTCAGTTGTACACGTTAACCGATGGCTGTGTAAAATTAACAGATATTGCCTTGTGTAATTAATTACGTAGTGCGTATGGTGGCCCTGAAAAGGGCCGATTGTTAAGGGGTTATTTTAATTATTTTTCTTGGCTCTGGGTTTGGCTTTTCTTGGAGGCTTTTGGGAGAAGTACGGCTTGGATATTGGGGAGTACGCCTCCTTGAGATATGGTGACGTTCTTGAGCAAATCGTCCAACTCGGCATCGTTCTTGATGGCCAGCAAGAGGTGCCTCGGGATGATCCTGGTTTTCTTGTTGTCACGAGCAGCATTGCCACTCAACTCCAATATTTCAGCGACCAGGTACTCGAGGACGGAAGCCAAGTACACGGAAGCGCCAACTCCGATGTGCTTGGCGTAATCGCCCAGGCGCAGGTAGCGACGGATGCGCATGGCTGGGAACGTAATCCCACACTTTTGTGCCATTGATTTGTTCTTTTTCTTCTCGACCGCCCGGACTTCAGCTTGAGCACTACGAGATGACACCATGGTGATGGATGTTACTTTGACGGATTGTCAGTGACAAATGGACATAAATGTAGCGGTTCATTTTTTTTTACGTTTTTCCGGGAGCTACTCCGAAACCAATAGGGACGCGTAACGCTTTTACCCCCTCTGCTGATATTCTACACGTTTGAACCTGCGTTCCTTGCGCGCGAAATGATGACAGTTGATGCTCGAAATATTGAATTTTATCTGTACGTTTGAAAGAATTATTACTTGGTTGGTTTAATTAATTTTTATTTATATTTCAAATATTCCAAATTCTGTGCTTCACACATGTATGTTTATGTACTTCATGAAGGAGTTTGTAAAATCATTGCTCAGTAAATCAAGATAAAAATCTTCTATCGTAGGGTCAACGTGCACGGTAAGTAATTATTGATGTAACATGTGACTGGATTTTTCCCTTCGTTTTGATCGTCTTATTGTTTTTCTTTTTAGTTTCATTTACAGAAGTAGGTTGAAACGCTCATGTAAACAACCCAGTGGACAGTACCTAGGTACCCTTCCCCGACGGTTTCGCTCTCTTCGACGAGTTTTTCAGTTTGTTACCTCGTGATCAAACGTTACCAGCAAGTTTGCCAATGAGCGAGTGCTACTCATTCCCTCAACAGGAGGTTCGGTCCCCAGAAAACCTCCTCGAATAGCGTTCCTGACGAACCCGCGTTCGCTAATGTTTATTGTTTACGCGCCTTCGATTCGGCACGTGTACAAATCGCGCGTATAAATTGTACAAAGTGCAATGGCCAGGACCAAAAGATCAGCCCGCGGTCAGAATAAACAACAGCAGGTAATTGTCCACCCTCGCCAAGAGCCGTCGTCGTCGGCGAATCAACAAAGATTACCTCCGAAGCACCAGCAGGCTGGCGCTGTCGAAACTCTACCGAAACCCGTCCAGGGTGAGTCGAAGAAAAAAAAACGCCCCCGCCGCTACAAGAAGGCCAAAGGGGTCGAGACGAGTTACGTCGTTCCCATCTACCGGGTGTTGCGACAGATCTACAACGATCAGACCATCAGCAAACGAGCCATGGATGTCGTCAACACTTTCATGAACGACATCTTCGAACGTATTGCTCGGGAGGCTGCGATTCTCGTCAAGTACAACAAACACAAGACGATGACGCCTCTGGACATTGAAAGCGCAACCAAACTCGTACTTGGTGGTGGCGAACTGACAAAGCACGCGGTGCACGTCGGCTCCTCAGCAGTCGTTAGATTTTTCAACAAAACATTTGGCATCAACGAATCTCAAAGTGACAATCAATTGTCCGAGTCTTGAAATTTCTTGTGCTAGTGCCTGTTAGATTGTTATTACATGTCTATAGTTGATTGTAATAGTTTTGAAGTTATAAGAAAAACGGACCTCTTTAAGGACCATCAGTTTACCTGTGCTCATGTAGACGTATGAAAGATTTAATTAATGTTTTTAACTGCTAAGATGTCAAACGTTAATTTTTTTCACATAAAACGTTTGTTTTTTTATTGAGAGTGTTTTAGGTAATAGGCCAGGTCTATATTAATTTAATAAATTTTTTATTTGAGTATTAACATTTTTTTTTATTAAAACAATAAACTGTTGTAATACAAATATAGAGTATAAGCATTTAAGGTAAAAAAATCTTACATTTATTGTAACTTTAATCTTACTTCATTATTTTATTACTGATTTGTTGCCTTTACATCAAGTTTGTACAAAATTGTTAGTTCCAATGAAGTTTTATACAACAGGCTCATTACACTTGAACTTACATCCATAATTATACGAAATTTTTAGTATCTTACAGACGATTAAGGACACTCTGGATCGATCTTAGTTTGGCAGTTAACTCATTCCCAATTGGTCTACTAAACAATATCGTTAAGCATTTTGATATAACATCTTGACACCGTGTGATAACTTTTCTCCTTAAAATTGACAGTTTGTTAATATTTACAGTATTTCAACTTAAATTCAATTTTGTAACATTCAAGGCTTACCTGACAAAAGCATTGGTAATATTGGAATTTGTGATGAAATAATTTACTAGATTAACTGTTGATTCAATCAAATGGAATTCATTTCCTTCGTTAAGCCATACTCGATTATTGCCTCCAATCATTCTAAAATTAAAAATTTAGTTTAATGTAACCAAAACTTATTACTAAACATTTTGAACACTTAAAATTGACGTACTTGTCATAATGATCAATAAGTTCCTCTATCGATACGCCCAATTGAAGGAAACATGTTATAATATGATCATTAGATAGTTTAAGCTTGCAAGCTTTAATTTCCAATTCTTTTAAGAGGAAATCTGAAAAGAAATTTATCACGGTTGTAAATAATTTATATGCTTACTTTAGTTAGCATCTACGTACCAATGGGGAAACAATGGGGTGTACCACAATATTCTTGACCAAGTAGTCTTACTTTGCTTGTAACAATAGTCATTTTATCTTCAGGTGATCCCAAGGCATTTTTTAGTTCTAATGCAAAAATAATTCAATCAAGAAATTTTCTCAAGTTCACTAATGAATAGAGTAACAATTTTCACTAACCTAAATCAATGATGTTCCTCCAGATTCCTTGGATCAACATTACATCTTGATGACCAGAACAGTGGATAATAGCCAACTTACACTCCCATAACTTAAGAGGCTCTGCATACTCCTCATAAAGCTAATTATATATAACTTAAATTATAATCAAGTTTTTGCATTTTACATTACAGTGTCTAATTTTCAAATACCTGAGTTATGTCCAGAAGAGCCGAATTTAATCTTACTTTAACATCTTGAACTACTATAGGATCGAAAAGTGCTTGTTGATTGCAAATGGTATCAAGAATCTAAAAAAAAAAAATTATATATTTTTACTACTGACAGGCGCACACATGCCCGCATGATTTATAAAAAATTGTGAAACTGTATTTACTTGCTGTTGAATTCGGGCAATTTCAACTTTGTCTTCAAGTTCTCTTAAAAATACTCCAAGATGTGGTGCATAGCCGGCTTCATCGCTTCTCATACAAACCACAGCTCGCGCGAGATACTCTACTCGTTGTGGCAATGTAATTTCAGTTCTTAAAAATAAAAAAATACTTAAAGAAGAAAAATCACATTACTAGTACATCAAATTAATGAAATGAATGACGTACCCAGTTTTTGTTGCTAGAGTGTAAAGAATTTTAGCTGCAGCAGCGTGATTTTTATTTTTTTCATAATACTGCCACAACAGTTCTGGTGCGTTCACGCGAATTAAATAATTTTCTAATGAAGGTGTCGCTGCGGCGATTAACTGACCATCGAGTCCTTTATCAATCATCCAACTATATGTTGCAATATGAAGAATTTCACAGGAGGAGTTCAATGCTTCTTGAATCATTTTATTCATCTGTAACAAATGATTGATACATGGATAAACTCTACAAATATAAGCTTCTTAAGCGAAAAAAAAAGTTTTGATTACAGTTTCCTTTGCTGAAGTAACAACGGCCATTGAATTGGATATACCTTGATTATAAAGATAATCAAGCATGGCAGTAAATTCTTTATAGATTTCTAGTCTATAACAAAAATCATTCTTATAATAAATTGGTTTTCAGATCAACGTTTAATAACTTTACCTTTTCAAGTAGGCTTGATGTCCTTCTTGATCATCAATGGGTTCGTTATTTTTGTAAAAGTGTACGGCACCATTATTGGGATCGATTTTTTCTGCACAGCTAAGACACAACTGTAAAACTCCGTGATAAAAGTGACAGGCAACAAACTGTTGACAGACTGCGCCAATATTTAATCTAGGGCCTACTTCTTTGCACAACTGTGAAAAATTAAAAATATAAATAAAAGTATAAAAATTAAAAATATAAATAAAAGTATAAAAATTAAAAATATAAATAAAAGTATAAAAATTAAAAATATAAATAAAAGTACAAAAATTAAAAATATAATTAGCTGTTAAATTGAATAATATAGAATTGTCGAACGAACCCTCAATGCCGATAGGAGATACGAATCTTTTTCTTCCAAATTCGTGCAGTTTTTTGCTTTTATTATTATTTCATTTGCCTGTTAAAGTTTGTAAATAATTAAGTACACTGCTTTTTTTTTTTTAGATAGAGAGCATTGATAATAGCATATATATATTTACTTTTGAACAAACCGCATCTTCGCTGCGATAAAGATTTGGACATATTTCGCGTAATTTTGCACTTACAGTATCAATGGACGCATTATCCCCTAGATAACTAAAATGTGTAAACAAGAATAATTTTCATAACTATAAGGCAGAGATAAAATGATTTTTCAGTCAAGAAACAAAATAAACTATTCACCTTTCAATCAGATTAAAAATAAGTAATGAACAATACTCGTGTCCGTGCAAAATTAAATCACGAAACGTTGCAATGCAAAATTGATTGATCTGGTCTTTTGACAGACAGCTAACAATGTTGTGCAATTGATTTTCGCAAAGAATTTTCCACAAGCCTAGAATCTCACATGCGTGAGTAATGAAAATTTTCAGGGCATCCAAAGAGTTTCTCTCTTCCACAATTGGCTCTTGAATGTTACTGTTTATTGTACTGTCAAATCCATCAGTAATACTTCTCATTGTACCGTGTCTAAAAGAAAAGTTTTATTAGTAATTTGTTAGCTGCTCAGTTATACCATATTGTGGAGAAACTCACAGTTTGGTTATATGAGTGTTTTTATTAAGGAAAGCGCGCAGTGCTTGCAGGTGTCCTAATATCCAACCAATCTGGCTGGCGTTAACAGTACTCATTAAGTGCGACTTGCCGTCGACTTGTTCCTGCTTTATGCAACGCAAACTCCAAACAGGCCTAAGTATGCGTCCGATGTAGAGGTAGAGGCCACCATGCTTGGATGAAAACTGCTGCAAGTCGGCACTTGGTCCACTTTGCTGAGGGAAAGTTTGTTGTTGCTGTTGTGGTTGTTGTTGAGGCGTGCGTTGAAACAGTTGAGTACGGTTGTCGAAGCACGAAACTCGCGGCGTCGAAGTTGCACGCATATCACTTGCCACTGGGGTTTGATTAATTGTTTACCAATTTATTGTGCTAATAAAGTACATAAGTTATTGAGAAAAATCTAATACCCGCAGTAATGTTGAAAAATGGATTATGAGGATCAGTAGGTTGAACTATCCTTTGACCACCGTACAAAAAGAAAGCTCTGGTAGCCCATTCAGCCAGCTAAATAATTTTTTTTTTTAATTTACAGAAGTTGAACATTTAACTTTTCAATATTTAGTAATTTTTTAATTACTGAATGAAAAAATTCAAATATAATTATAAACCTGAGCATTCTGTGAGCTTTCCAATGTCGCAAGAATAAGACATGTCGCACAAGCTTGCTCTGGTGACTGTGTCTGAAAGTAAGCTCGAACAGCGTCTGTGTCAGGACCACGCTGTTCTAAAAGGAGCTGCCTCAGAATGTCGACAGGCCGCATTTGAATAAGTACAATTGCACCCTAAAAAGAAAAAAAAATTTTTGTATTGAATAATGAATAGATTTGGCTTTAAAAAAATTAAATAAATAAAAAACATCACACCTGGGCTGTAAGGAGTATAAATTTACGAGGTGGTTCCATGTGTTGGCGCACTAAGAGTGGAGGGTCACCAAGACCACCACATTGTTTTTCAATTTGAATCGCCGATTCTCCAGGAATCTCAGCCAGTGACCACACTGGACTGTCGAGAGGTAAAATACTTTGAGTTTCGGCGAGATATGTGGAGAACGGATAAGCATCGTTACTCAAGCACCATGCACTTTCAGCTTCACCACCACTAATCAATATTAACGTGCCTAAAAAATAAAATATTTCAGCTTTTACGTTTTTTCCCTATGTTCTTTAGCAACACCGTCTTGTGGTTTCGTACCTTTTTTATAGTGAGCCATTTGTACTTTTCTCGGACGCATGACTGGGGCATTGGCTGAATAACCAGGTGGTAATCTGACGTGAATGAGTTGAAGACACTGGGGTCTCGCTGATGGATTCGACATAGACGTGCAGCTAAAATAAAATCTCGTACCCGTCGCGGCGACCGCCACCAAATTCAGATGCAAGGATTCAGACTCATTAATCGATGAGATAGTGGCCAAAGGACGAAAGTTGTTGCTGTCCAAAGTTTGAACGACATGAGTGACGTTTGACACAATCGTTGCTTGCGATAACGACGTAACTTTGGATGCGCCACCACCGTCTATGTCCCAGACGGTTATTGTGCCCTTGTCACCCAGTGTATAGAGAATATTCCGAGAGTCATCGACGGAGATTTGAATAATTGATTCCTCTTCGCTTAGAGCAACCGACACGAATGATGGTATTAAAAACGAGAATGTTCCCTCTGAATGATTGATTTTTTTACAACGCTTGCCAAACCAACTGCTTTCCGCTTGATAGTAAATTTCGTACAGAGAACCGTTTCTCCCTCCAAGAAAAATACGTCCACTGTTCGAGTTTGCGATCGTTGTTATTGCAACTCCATCAGTTGTGACGGTGAAAATGGGCTCTGGTACGAGTTGCATTTCTCCTTGAACACCTGATAATAAACTCAGCTTAATTAGTAATGAAATCTCAAACTGTACAAGACAATTAAATTGAACCATAAAGTACAACCATCATTGTCATTTAAAGTGACACCAAGCACTGTAATTTCAACTGTGGTTGTTAAGATAAGCAGGTACTTGACGTAATTTTGAAAAATACCAGCTTTTGGCTTTACAAGGCCAACACTTATTATAGTTTCATTTAAACCATCAAAGTATGCTACATCAGACCTGAAAATAAACAATTAACACAATATTACATTGTACAACTACGTTTTTTTTTTTAAATTAACAAACAATCATACTCATTTTCGTAGGACCAAACATAGATATCACTGTCAATAGTGAGCCATGCCTTGGAAATATCTGTAAATAAGCCCATCATACAATGACATTGCATATCTGAATTACGTTATTAAGAAATAGATGTTTGATTGATTTCTTTATAATTGTTGAAGTATTTAGCAACTGATTTTCAAAGAAAATGTAATCATTGACTACAAGTGCATCAAAAGGATACGGCTAAAGTGCTCCATCACTTCAGAAGGTAGTGGTATCTTGCTGTGCATCTTCATTTGATTAATGTTAGTTAAGCCCATGGAGACCCCGTTCAAATTTGGATAATCATAAATATCAAGTCCACTGACTGTTGGACCCCCTTGGACATTGTAATGCATCAAGTTGATAAGAGTTGGAAAGTTGCTGTCAGCAACAATATGCTTATCAACCATTTTCCCTGCCATTTCCAATGCATCCAGATGAATCTTCATTGGCTCCATTTCAGTTAAAGTCATTACACTTTCACTGATAGCTAAATTTTACATTTGTATGAAAATTAAAAAAAAAAATGATATGAACGGGGTAAGTAAAATGCTTTTTATTATAAAAATAATAACAATTTAGAATTGGAAATAAAAATATTGGATATTTGAATTTTTTTCGTACAATTCCTACAAGTGTTTAAGGTTAGATAGTTAAAAAATTTGAAAAAATAACTTATTAACTCACATAACAAAGAACGAGCACACCTTGATTTCCACAAGTGCGTGACACAATGATTAAATCAACAAAACGTGTTTTCTTAGAGTAAACAAAAAAAACTTTGAAACAAAACATAAATAACGTATATATACGAAGGGTTAGGTCAATTTCACTTTATCACATTGCAATTTGTTGAAAAAGGACTACTAAAAGTATAATACACATACTTATTAAGTGTTGGAATTAGTTAAAAAAAAGAAAAGGTATAAAAAAATAGAAAATGAGTTGTTTATTTCACGCAAGGTTCACTTATTAAAATAAACAAGTTTCACGCCGGCTGACAGTAACCGACATTTTTTTTCAACCCAGGACAACTGCAGCGGGAAAAGGCGACGACGCGCGGCAGTCGCTAATTTTGGAGTTTAAAATTTTTCTTACTGCTTCTTGCATGTGTGTACGTTACCATTCGTAAGTAGTGAATAATGTATAATTTAGGCTTTTGAATGATCATAGATACAATTTTTTTTTTTTTTTTTAATGTGATATATTTTTTTCAACATTTTGTAATGAGTTTTCGGAGCATCGTAATAATTTCTTCAATTAACAATCATAACTAGGCATATTTGGAAATCAATGGCCAACTTTTATTCAAGTTACTAACAGGGGATGTACACAGGGTAAGTTGAAATAAAATGAAGTATGAATATCTCTTTACTACGAGTGTCTGTAAAAAAAACACATTTTGGACATAACAGGTAATTATAAACTTTATCGCGTCGAATGCCGATGAGGAAGTCATGTAATTATTTCATGCAATGTGACAAATAGACGTGTGTGACTGTAGTATAAGTGTAAATGCTTGTATTGACGACTTACGATATATGACGTGTATCCAAAAGTTCAGACCTTTAAGTTTATCTACAATTTCACGCTATTTGTTAACTGTGAGGTTGTCTTATGACGTCTTGTAATGATTTCATAAACTTTGAGGTCTTTTGCTACCTTTGAAAATTGTTGGAGTCCGGACGTCACAGAACGATATCACAGACCACAATACAGAAGAAAGCAAAGTTGCAGAATAGGCTTGTCTGCGGACATATTTGGCTTTTATCGGTGTCGTGTCCATGCCACAGCTGTTATCATCACAATAGTCGTGACAGTTTGCATGAGACCAGTGTGTAGATACTAGTGTTGCTAAACGTAGGTATCCCTGGAATAATTGTGTTTATCCACAGGTTGGATACTTTTTCAGTCTTTTCTCATTACGCCTATTGAGTTTATATTATTCATCATGTCTTCTATGTCCATAGTTGTTTGGGTTTATTATTGATTTCTGTGTTTGCGAAATTGAGCGCTTGCTGTGCTTTTGAGACGCAGTTTTGATTGTATTAATGTAGTTCTTGTGACGTCAGGAAATATACTTATCTATTTGCGTTAATTTTTTTGTTGCAGAATTTGACAAAATGTTGACTGAACCATTGTTGATTTTGTCCGAGAGCGACATTGAAGGCGGAGGCAAGGAGTCCAGGTCCAGCATACAAAATGATTTTGCCTACCACAATAACGTGCACAATGCGTCTATTAAAATTCGCATGGGTGAGAATACAATGGATTTTTCTTTTAAAGCAATGCGTTGTGCATTTACATGTTCTGTACAATGTTTTTTTTTACTTGTAGCCTTTATCCGTAAGGTTTATGGACTTTTGAGTATGCAGTTGCTCATGACTGTGATTATTGCTGGGGTCTTCTGTTTCGTCAATCCTATAAAAGCTTATGTACAAGAAAAGTAATGCATATACTTGTAGTATACACCAGTATTTATTTTTAAAAGTTTAGTTTCTAAAAATTTTGTACTTGTTCTTATACATTTATTGTTTCATCATCACAGCCCATGGCCTATCATGATCTCATTCTTTGCTACATTTGCCATCCTTATCGTTCTGCATTTCAAGAGCAGAGAACATCCAACGAATTTGATTCTTTTAGCACTATTTGTAAGTATATTTGTCGATGAAAAATTTTTTATTAATAAGATGTAAATTTTAATGCAACAAATGTTTGCGTTTTAGACGATTGTACAGGCTTGTACAATTGGCATAGTTGTGAGCCTGTATGATGTAGTTCTGGTTGTTGAAGCTCTTTTTATCACCTTGACTGTTGTTATCGCCTTAACAGGATTTACTTTCCAAACAAAACGTGACTTCTCTGCAATGGCCGCTGGGTATGGAAAAAAGCTTATTTGGCATAAATTAGATTATTTAACTTTGAATTAATACTCTTACATAATATTACTATTCATAGTTTCATAAACATAAAAGTTTGTCCATTACTTATTGTAAACTTGACAATTTTCTTTATTGTTCTAGATTGTTCTCTTGCCTCTGTGTGCTTCTGATAGGCAGTTTACTCCAAATTTTCATCCAAAGTAACGCAATGGAGCTTCTTCTCTGTGTTGGAGGTGCACTTTTATTCTCTTTTTTCATAATCTTTGATACTCAGCTCTTGATGAAAACTCTATCTCCTGAAGAATACATACTTGCTACAATTAATATTTATTTGGATATTATAAATCTTTTCTTATATATCTTACGTATTCTTGCTGTAGCTCGGAAGTAATTGTTTTCTTTCCAACTAATTTTTCTTATGAAATAATTTCTATTTTTGTCAATGAAAGTTTGTAAAAAAAAAATAAATGTCTCAAAACTTAGTTTTTGAAAGCAAGTCGTTGAAAATTCTAGTATTACAATGTGTATTTAATGTTCCACAGTTTAATTATATTTCAAATTTGTTGTAAAAATAAATTTTTAAACAGAGTGAGTTATCAAAGTAAGTTTAACGTAAGTTTGTTAATATGTATAAAATATTGATGAGAGTACTAAGTAAGAAACAATGGTAGGTAACATTGAAAAGTATTATTGGGAAATAATGTAATTGTATATTGAGTATACGATTGAGAAACTTGTATTTCAAGTTTATATAAATGCATAATAACAAAGTTCATCACTGAACAACTGGTTTTCTTTAAAGATTTTTATGCACAATGTCAGAGGATCATGTGTTAATGGATATAAAAAAAAGTAATGCTGTGATCATAAAATGTAATATTTGAATATTTATAGCAAGTTTCGTAATAAAGTTTGTTGAAATGATTGTCAATTATGACTGCAATTCTTCAACTCAGATCTTTTTGGAGTTTGACTCTAACTCCATTTTATTTTGTAAAATAAACGTATAAGTTTTGGAAGAAACAATCATTGGTCTTTTTAATATTATTTCGAAATAAATAAAAAAACGAAAAATTTCGAATCGACATTCGAAACTTTATTTTAAAGTAATACAATAAAGCAATCTGTTTGTAACGATTACGCGGTCTCCATTGGAGCAGCACTTTCTTCGGTGTATTTACCCTTATCCTTGCCAAGTGCAGCCAAACGTCCCTTGCTCCTTCGGTCGATAATCTTTTTGCGGTCTTTGTCCATTTTTAGCTTAACAATAACAGTCTGTAACCAAACAAATATTTAAATCAATTTCATGTTCGACATGTTTACAATCATCTAATCGATAAAAATTAACAAGTCAGAGCCAATTAGTCGGCAGTGATTGGATGGAATTCAAACGCTTATTAACAGACAAGAAAACCTTGCCAGTAACTAACAATTTGAACTCGATGTCCAAACCTTAGTGAATGGTTTAATATCATCATACAATTGTAATTTAAATGCGTCAGCTCTCTCAAGATAGTCAATATAATAAGAATAGAAAAATTACCTTGGAGGGGTCAATTCCTACGTAAACACTAGCACCGTTCATCTTTTCACGCTGGATCCTTTCAATGTAAATGACAAACTTTTTCCTGTAAACTTGAATAACTTTGCCTATCTGTTGTCCTTTGTAGTGGCCCCTTACGACCTAAAAAGGTAAGATTCTTCTCAATCATCTAACTAAGAATGCTTGAAACACTTTGTTCATGAATAAAAAATAATCAGTGCCATTTCTTCTGCATCAGGTGTGAACTGAAAACACTTTAAACAAAGTAAATAGGAAAACCCTACTAACCATGTCTAATAATGTTCTGTATCACACCTTATGTGAATGGTTTGGATCATCATTTCAATATTTAATAAATTCAGCAATAATGAACAAGCGTTGTTTGTGATTTGTCTGCTACTCATGAACGCACATGTTTCACTTGTTATGGAATGCGTAACGTTTAAAGACTCACCTGAACTTCGTCATCCTTGCGAATGGGCATGGAACGGACGTTGTACTTTTGCCTGAGTTCCTTGGACAGCGGCGCGGACATGAGCCGTCTCCGAATGTGCGAAGGTGCTGTGAAGTGCCTCTTCCTGTTTTTCCTCCTCGAAGAGGTCACGAGCTTGTTGAGCTTCATGTCGTTGACTCTGCAAATGGTAAAATCTAGCGTTAAAACTTGGACACTTGGTTACTATAATTGCGAGGTGATCATCGTCCGCTATCAGCATGGGACAATAAACATAACCCCCACTCTAAGACGTAATCCACGAATGACAATGAAACAAATCCACAGTTGAAGTTGATAAAACCATCAAATTAATATGTAAGGGCACTCATTGACAACAAGTTATTACCAAAAAAACGAGCGTTTAAACGTGACGCGTACGTGGTAATTAACTACTAGCCGGGACTGTCAACAAATAAGTATAACGCACTTGGACCAGCGATTTCACGATTATCGTGTAAAAATATTGCAATGAACATCAAGACAAGATATTGAGGAATCATGGCTAAAAAACACTTTGAACCAATATAATGCAATTATCGCGGATTGCTTGGATTTTTCATTGGTATAACTCACCGCAAAACCACGCCGCACTATGTCAACGAGAATAGAAAAAGAATCTCATAATACTTACACGAGATGAGTCTTGAAAAAGAAAGGTAAATCCTCATGCAAACGGGAGAGTTTACAATCCGCGGTCCAGTAAAAATTGGATGATTTTTCTGTATCCAATGGAATTTCTAGAAGGTCAACGATTAGATTATTGGTGAGCTCTGATTGGTTCTTCACATTCAGTGGACGGCACTTACATGTAAACACATCAAAAACTACGCGTTGTCATCAAGATACCTTACAGATATCTCATGGAACAAGATGACTAAAACTCATCTTAAAATTGACATAAGGATAACAAAATTAATTTTTTTGCGAAAAATCTGCCCCAAAGTTAAGTACAACACAAAGGCGGTCCATGTCATCTGCCCGAATAGCTCAGTCGGTAGAGCATCAGACTTTTAATCTGAGGGTCTAGGGTTCGAGTCCCTATTCGGGCGTTTTTTTGCATTTTTTTGCACTTTGTGCCCATTTTTCGTCAGAATTTTATTAATATTCAATTCAGTTAAAAAAAATCCAAATAACAAAACTTCATTAAGAATTGACAGAACTCCAAGCATAGTTCTAAAACATATAAATAAAGAAGCAATAAAAAATTATACAACCATTTTTAATAAAATTATTAATAATTCATACTACCAAAACTCATGGAAAACCGTAAAGATAAGTAGTGCCGATACTTAAAAAAGACAAGAACCCAAAAGAAGCAAAAAGCTATAGGCCCATATACCTACTTCCTAGCATCAGCAAAATTTTTGAATCCTTAATTAACCAACAGATTCAAGATCATTGCAGAACCGAGCGAATAATTCCTCACGAACAATTTGGTTTTAAATATAAGCACTCAACGGTACACGCATTAGGTACGTAAAGTTTTGAAGGATACGTATAAACACCTGAATGAGCAAAAAATGGTAGTGGCATGTCTAATTGACATATAGAAAAGGCATTTGATTCAGTATATGGATAATGACACTAATGACAGCCATTCTGATGAACATTGCAGTGTATATATTTACATCGCTTTCGAACCATCGGCCACAGTTGGAAAAACGCACACGAAGAAAGTTTCTCAGAGGTGCGAGCCAACTTGAACCCATGAGCGTGTGTTACCACAAGCCCCCGAGTGACGAGAATCGCAGTCTTAGCCACTGAGCTATACCGTGGCCCATGCCGAACGTAACATATTTTAAATACATGTAGTTAATAATGATTTACAAAGTATGAATAATAATCTTCACTTGGATATAAACCAACTAAAAATGACAAATGATATGAATAGAATGACCAACAAATACCTATAGACATCGAAAATTTAATTAAAATAATCGAGAACAAAAAAAATGTTGACGAAATTTAGCGATACAAACCACTGAATCCTAACGACATATTCACCAAAATATATTTTTAAATACAAGAAAAACACATTTTGTAATGAAAAATTTAAATAATTAAACTTTTTGGGAATGGCGGTATATTAAATATTGTTACAAAACGTATAAATACGCGTACTACAAATAATTATACAATTCTCTTTAATAATATCGACAACGCATATTATCCAAACATATGGAAAGTTGTTAAAATAGCACCTATACTTAAAAAAAAAAAAGGTATTTAAATAGTCGTTATTAAACCAATACGTACATTGTCTCCTGCAATGCAAAACAATTAATACCAGATGAACAATTTGGCTTCGAGCATAAACATTCAACTATTCACACGCTTTATAAAGTACTAACCGTCACGTGTAAACATATTATAAATAAACACGAAATGATAGCAGCGTGTCTAATATGACTATAGAAAAGGCATTCGATTCAGTCTGGATAAAAAAATATTGATTTTTAAATTAGCACAAAAAAAAAAAAACTCCTGACCGTAAAATAAAATGTATATAACATGTAATGTATATTTGAATTGAACCAAAATAAAAAACAAATATGCAACATTCTTCGTAGACGAGTTGATCTTATACGTCAGCGAAAAAACTCCGAATACCGTAAAAGGAAAACTCGAACTCATTTATAGTTAAAAAATTCCCTGTAATAAGAAGTTCTCGTAACTCTAGTTTTTTTATCGAGCACATGTTGCAAAGTCACACCAGACGTGATTTCAAAATATTAGCGTAACATTAAGTTAAACTTTTGTACAATCAAATTCCACGGGGACTTCTAGACGCGGATTCGTCAGTTAAGCACCAAAAAAAAAAAAAATTCTGCTAAACTTGAAATACTTACCATTTCTTCAATATTGCGCGACACTTTCAAAAAATGACAGATCAAAATAAAACCAGTTAATTATAGGAATAACAAAAAAGACTATTTCTGGTGGCACTGGAAAAAATCTGAACATTAGAGTAGCTTTCTGTTAAGGTACACAACGACCAATTCAAAAAGTTGCATATGATAAAGACTTGTCATTGTGAATACCCTATCAATGTAATACTCGTAGCGCTTCACAATGAGCCAATTATTAGTATAAAAAGTACACGTATATGTTAACTTTTACACTTTTCATAAATTTAACTCAAGTTTACAAAAAACTTCGTAGTCAACTCACGACGAACAAAAGAGCTTTTGAAACTACATGGGGATACGGGGTGCTTTTAGGCTACGTTTAGCCCCAACATATCTATGGTCATTTTTGGGAAGGGCCTTTTTTTTCTCAACAGTTCGCAAAGTGTATCCGTCCGATTCCAAGCGATCTAAGAACTTTGCACTACATATATATTGTGCTCGTAATAAAGACTCGCATGTGTTACTTGAATTTTACAAAAATGATGTTCTCAAGATACCGGCAATCATTTTAAAAAGTTTAAACACATAAGTCAATAAGACACTTGTTTATTACGTTAAACCTTTATTGATATTTATATCTTTTGAAACAAGTAATTTATTTTTATTAGTTAACACTTTTAAGATTTATAGGATTACATTCTCATGACTTTTTAAAAATGTTTTTTTGATATTTATGTCATCAACTAAATAAAATGTATATGTAAAGAAAAAACAACCATATTGCGTTCTCTTACTTTATTTTATTTATCGTTCCACAGTTAACATGTTTGTAAATAATAATATGGAAAATCCAATTTAGTTGAATACAATATACAACATGATTAATTATAATTATATCAATAAGCACTATTATACATTTTGGGATTTTATTTATTGGTTGTCATAAGTTCGCCCAGATACTTAATTTCAGCTGAAAAAAAAATACATGTATTTAAGACTCAAGTATTACTCTAAATATTGATTGATCAATTGAAGTGACTCTTTAAAGAACTTTTCATTTTGTTATTCAACAAACAAGTGATTGAAAAATTTTAAGCTTGAATATATAAGTAATCTTCAATTGATTAATGAAGAAGGAATAATCTTGTTAATTGATTTAAAACAATGTTTTATAGATATTATTTCATGCAAGCTCAGTTAAACTAGTATAGAATGGGATGAAAAAATCATTTTAAGGCTTACCTTCAGATGCTCGTTTCTTTTCAGCTGCAAGCCTAGCTTCCCTAGCAGGCCTTTCTGCCTCTTCTTTTTCTCTACGTGCATTTTCTATTTTACTGAACCTATTATGGTGAAATGCACCATACAAAATACCAAGACCCAACAAACTCCATCTGGTGAACTGCAATGCATTGTATTAAAACATTTTTAGTCAAGCTTTGAAAAATAATCTCGTAACGTATGTGTAAATGATTTTATATTCTTTTATAACGATTTACGTATCAGCTTTAAATTGAATATCACTTTTTTTGCTGTAACTACTTGTTGTCAAACATTATGTGCAACTACACTTTTTGAAAAACATGTTGGAAACTAGAAATATTTGTAGAAAAATTCAAAAGTTATACTGAAACAAATATACACTGAAGTTTGATAAGAGTTATTTTTTAAGAGGTCAATTGAAGTTATGAAAAATATAAGTACACAAGAGAAGAAGGTTAGAAACTTCGGATGAAAAATAGGGTACACTTTTACCACTAAAAATTGAAGAATGCGAAACACTACTTTCCCGATTATCTGACGTTTGTCATTTTATTTGTTGTATGAAATGTTGCATTAACAAAATAATTATGTAACTCTCTTCTACTATGAAACTTGAACCAAGGTGGCAGACAATTTTCGTGACTCAAGTGTTTGAGAAAAAAATCAAAGAAAAAATTCCCGTTGGCTTCTTATAAACAATGGATATCTAAAGTACCTTAATTAAGGGAGAAACCCGGACAGGTCGGGGGTTTAATTCTACGGCCGACATTTTTACTTGTTGTCCAGTTCAATTAATTGACTAAAAACAGACGACAAGGGACACACGGAGAGCGCACACACGTATACATATATTGTAAAACTGTTGTCACATCAGTCGGTAAAATTTAAAGTTAGCAAATTCAACTTGATTTCATTGCAATTTACTTAAAACAACGTTTGATGTGGTGTCAATTATACTTATTCTGCGACGGTACAAAAATATTTAAATTTTTCGTTGCTTGAAGTGAGAGGAAGGAACATATTTGGCATCATACGAATCGTATCGGATACGATACTTACCATGCAAGGTGGGAAAATGAAATATTTTCAACCAGAGTAAAGATATTGGCCCTGTGTGACCGTATGAACCACAATGCTTGAGAAAGGCGTATCTTTTCAATCTTTTGAAAGCTGATAAGTAGTATCAAATAATCATTGAAATTTTTATAAGTTAGCTATTAGAGTAGTCTTATTTCAGAACGTAGTGCCACTCAGCAAGCGTAGGTATAATAAACTATTTCATTTGAGTTGAAGAACGTCCAACTAAAAATTATCTTACGTCTAATATAATCGCTTCAGTTATCCTTCTTGTGTCAACGTTTCTCGGAATGCAAGTAGGCAATGAGAAGGCAATAATTGCTCTGAATAAATATTGATTTTTTAATCAGCCAACGAGTTAAAAAATAATACAGAAATTGTGTAAATGAAGTAAAAAATTGCTGTTTGCAAAAAAATTTATTTAAAGACTTTAGATAAGTTCTTTTGTCATTTCCATGAAATACATTTCAATTTTTAATACTCTTCGGCACCTTCGCCCTCGCCTTCAGTCGAGTCCATGCCGACCTCTTCGTAGTCCTTCTCAAGGGCAGCCAAATCCTCACGAGCCTCAGAGAACTCACCCTCCTCCATACCCTCACCGACATACCAGTGCACAAAGGCACGCTTGGCGTACATCAGGTCGAACTTGTGGTCAAGACGCGCCCAGGCTTCGGCGATGGCCGTGGTGTTCGACAACATGCACACAGCACGTTGGACCTTGGCAAGATCACCGCCAGGCACAACAGTCGGTGGTTGGTAATTGATACCGACCTGGAATAAGATAATCAAAATTAGAGTTATGCAAAATAGTTTTATTACGCAAATGCATCCATATTGCAAATCCATGAAGTACCGACCTTGAAACCAGTTGGGCACCAGTCGACGAACTGGATGGTGCGCTTGGTCTTGATGGTGGCGATGGCAGCGTTAACGTCCTTCGGGACAACGTCACCACGATACAACATGCAACAAGCCATGTACTTGCCACGACGTGGGTCGCACTTGACCATTTGGTTGGCTGGCTCAAAGCAGGCGTTGGTGATCTCGGCAACAGACAACTGCTCGTGGTAGGCCTTCTCGGCAGAGATGACTGGGGCATAGGTGACCAAGGGGAAGTGAATTCGGGGGTAGGGAACCAAGTTGGTCTGGAACTCGGTGAGATCGACGTTGAGGGCGCCGTCGAAACGCAGAGAGGCAGTAATCGAGGAGACGATTTGGCCGATCAAACGATTGAGATTCGTGTAGGTCGGGCGCTCGATGTCCAGGTTACGGCGACAGATGTCATAGATCGCCTCGTTGTCGACCATGAAGGCGCAGTCGGAATGTTCGAGAGTGGTGTGCGTGGTGAGGATGGAGTTGTAAGGCTCGACGACGGCGGTGGAGACCTGGGGAGCTGGGTAGATGGCGAACTCGAGTTTCGACTTCTTTCCGTAGTCGACCGACAGTCTCTCCATAAGAAGAGAAGTGAAACCAGAGCCAGTGCCACCTCCGAACGAGTGGAAGATCAAAAATCCTTGAAGACCAGTGCACTGGTCAGCCAACTTGCGGATTCTGTCGAGCACAAGGTCGACAATTTCCTTGCCAATGGTGTAGTGACCACGGGCATAGTTATTGGCGGCATCTTCCTTGCCAGTGATTAGCTGTTCGGGGTGGAAGAGCTGGCGGTAGGTACCGGTACGAACCTCGTCTAGAGAGAAAATAAATTGATTAGACAACTTTCAAAGTTAATAAAAGTTTTTAAGCAGGTCTTAAAGTATCATAGGGTCGTACCAACTACTGTAGGCTCCAAGTCAATGAATACAGCTCTTGGCACATGTTTGCCAGCTCCAGTTTCACTGAAAAAGGTGTTGAAACTGTCGTCTCCGCCTCCAATGGTCTTGTCAGATGGCATTTGACCATCAGGTTGGATGCCATGCTCCAAGCAATACAACTCCCAACAGGCATTACCAATCTGGACTCCAGCCTGTCCAACGTGGATAGAGATACACTCACGCTGAAATCAAGAGAAATTCAATTATTTACAACGGGAAAAAATAAACTTAAGAAAAAAAACAAAATAAAAAATAAATCTTAGAGTTGGGGTGGTAAAATTTAAAATAAAGTACTTAAAAGTTTATATTTACAGATTAGGAGTCACAAAAATTACAATTAGTGATTTATTAAAATGGTATCAGAGAAAAAATTTTATATCGACAAAACATTGATATTGGTCTCGCATGATATACTGCAATTTATTTTTCGAGTTTTAAAAGAGCTCCAAACAAGAACAGGATGCATGATGTCATACAGTTGCCGTATAAGGCTAGAGGAGCGACTCGAGAGGCCAACCCAACCAGCTAAAAAAGTCGATAAGTATTCAAGAGCGCCATATACAGTTACTTTCACCTTGTCTTTGAAGAGAAGGACCTCAATTCAATACCTGCGGGAGATACCTTTTGCGGAGGCGTATAAAGCGAGAAAATAAAATTACAAAATTGCAATTTTAGGTATTTTTTTTTTTTTAGTCAATAGGGTTTAATGTATGCAATTGTTGATTACTCTATCGTTCGTTCATCTATTCTAAAATTATTGATGGACGCAGCAAGACTTGGTGCTTAAGTTGGGGTAAAAATCAATATTTCGGCTTTTAATGAATAATGACATGGCGTGAGTAACATTGCCAGATAACGATCGCATTTTCGCGTGACGAGGGACAATCAATACTTGACAATAAAAGTTGGCCCGAGGGAGTTTTTTTATTATCTAGCACATATAGATAAATTTATCGTATCTTTGGTGATGATTTTTGAACCACGATGTTGAAATGTAATGTTTTAACTGCAAGCGGTATCATTAAAAATTCATTATTTCAAAAATCGGAGACTCCTGAAGAAAAAAATTTTTTGAAGCGTCCATTTCAAGATGCCGTCATTTCGCAAGGCGAAGCCAAAGGAGGAACGAGCAAAGGACTAAAATGGAAGTACGTCGAGCAGCTGCAGTGATGAAAGCACGCCAAAGATCAACTGCGTCTCCCGCTCCACCCCCCGTACCCGAAAGTTTCCATTACTGCCCTTGTAGCTCTTCCGCTGCAGAACAAAGCATTTGAGAATAAAAAAAAAATTTACACCTACACGGCTGGCTGAAACCTTGTTTTTTTTTTCCGAGCAGGCAACGCCCTTTCAGCGTACGAACAAAGCTAGAGAAGGGAAGCCGATGAGTCACAATTTTTCTCCTGCCCCCCGCCTTGTAAGCTTTAACGGTAGGGCGTCGCCGGCCGGCTATCACGTACACGTACATAAATATGTTCACGGACCGTTACGAATTCGTGCAAAATGGCCGTTGTGAAGGTACAAGTTTAATCCAAGGGAGGGGGGCAAGAAGTGGTACACGCGATCGATCAACCGTTACTCTTCTCCTGGGGAAAGGTTTTCTTCTATCCTTTCACTGGGTCCTCGCACCCCCCCCCTTTCTACTTTATTACACTGAACTGCAAAAATGATTTAAAAAATTATGTGGAATACAAGAGGACCTTTAAGTAGACGATGCAAGGGCAGGACACGCTGGAATATTTAATCGGGTACACGTACGCATCGATCAATAAAACATAGCCACGCAACCATTTGACGACCGAAAGAGTAAACAAAAAAAAAAAAAAATGGAGCTACAATTGTAATAAAAAAAGGTAGGTACTTACCATTTTGATGAAAGAGTTGATGAACTTTTCGTCGACAAAAAGTGAAAAAAAAATCTGCGAGGAAAGCCCAAACTGAAGTGTGAAGAGAGCGGCGAGAGTCGGTTGTCGGTGGAAGCGGGTAATGCAACTTCCTTCAACGGCAACGGCTCGTCTGTGTGCGCGCTGGAGCCACGACCTATATTTATAGACTTTGCCACCACTCCAGCGCTCCGGTGTGGCCGATCGGGCTGGCCAATCGACGCGAGTCGAACGTCAACGTCGCGATGCGCGATTGGTTGGTCGACGACCGCAATGCGCAGACACGCTGCGCCAGTTTGCCAACTTGCCTTTGTCGCGTTTATCGTGGAGTTGTTACGTTTTTATTTGACCCTCGAAAATGTCAAAGAGAAAGGATGGCTTTGCTCGGTTCATGGGGTGAGGTGATTTCGGGTTACTTTCGAGGCGGTGGTGAAGAGGAATGATTCATTTGTAGTGATTATTGATGACAAGGCTTGCCAATTTAGTAGTAAGGGAGAATATATGGAAAGCCCGGCTACGTGTGGGTGGATTTTTTCATGCTGCTAGTGGTCACACTGGTTTCGACGATTTGGCGCGTTGTGTTCGACATGGCGTTCTAGATTGTTCGTATCGGTCGATAAAATTACTAAGTGTAAGTATACTTGCGGATTAAATAGAAACTACTTACGCCTGTTTTATTCGATTTTTATTCTTTACTTTTAATCTTTCAACTTACATGCAACTTGTAAAATATTGTCACTTGAGAATTAATAAAATATAAAATACATAGATATATTGCTTTTTCGCACAAGACATTAATATTACAATGTAAAAAAATTACTTATCAACTAAAAAGTACGAGTTACAGTGTTAAATAATTTCAACTTCACCAATGTACTTATGAATATATTATAGAAAATAAATGAATGAATCTACGTTTTCTGTCTCACTTGATGTTGACTGGAAATATTTAATGCACGTTTCGTTGTATAAAATATATATATATATCTATTTTCTCGCAAATCCGTGATTGTTGTAACACATCGGTTAGACTTGAGTCTGGCAACTGGAACACTTTGGTATCCTTCGATCCTTCATCCGCACCTTTTTCGTCTCTCGATTCAGCTCTGGAGCAACAAAGGAAGGAAAAAAATCAAAATCAATCAAACAATCGAAAAATAAAGCTTGTCATGCATGGGTTTTGGATAACGAAAAAAATATCGTCGTCCCAAGCCACTCCAGGGTCTTATACACGGAGGCGTGGGTTTTGCGATATTGTGTCGCGTCGTTTATTCGAGCGTAACGTCATCGATATACACGTACTGCGTTTAAAATAAATGCTATTCATACGACCGACAATTCAATAACCCATTAGACGGTTCCTTCTTGCATGACAAATGTCGAGATAATAATTGGTCACGTCTCCACAGTCCACACCGAGACTTTCATCCGAGCTTTTTTTAAAACAGCATACATGATTTTCCTTCAAGTGTATACATAGGCATAAACGACTCGGTGCATACTAAGGAGGTGATGACTACTTTCAAGCTTTGGAAGGCCATTCAATTCAAACAAAAGATAGTGAGAAAGCCAAGGGTTTTGGTTTTCTATAAAAAAAAAAAAAAAAAAAAAAAAAACGATACTGCATCTGCTGTGTCCTTTTCGGGCGAGCATTACGTCACGGAGCGCATTACTTATTCTTCGAAACTTTTGGGTATCGAAAAAAGGCAACTCCTCGCCAAGTATCATTTTCCACATTAGACTATAGCTCTCTCGAGTCAACGTACCTCGGCGTGCGCGAGGGCCCCTCCCCAGGACAATTGTAACATGGGTAATCACAAAAAAAGAAAGGGGGGGGGGGGACGTAAAAAAAAAAAACCAAGAAACAGGACAAAAGGATTTTCGGCAGGTAGGGGACGACGCACGCAATAAGTATACATACAGGTATAATACATGCAGGTACTTACTGATGAGATCGGTACCGAGGACTATGGGCTCGAGGCGGGCGCTATGCACCTCGCGGAGGACGCTCGCGTTGAAGGCCAGCGCTGCAACTCTGGCGAACAGCTCGGCCACGCCGTCGCCGCTCCTCGCCGACACGGCCCATAGCTCGGCCCTCATGCGCCGCGATATCTCCAACGCCTTGGCCTCCACTATCTCGTACACCTGGTTCGACTGAAACACGCGCGTCCATTTTACCCACTTCCTTACAAGCTTTTTCACTTGGCTTTTAATGGTACGTTTCCGCTTTTTTTTTTTGTTTTTTTTTTTTTTTTTTTTTTGTTTTTTTTTGGTAAGTACACGCAAGATGGGTTTGTTGTTTCGCTCTGTACTTTCAAGTGCTCGCGCCGTCGTGTCGATTACCGATGCGGGAATCATCACCATCTTTTTTTCATTCCGTATTTCAATTTGTTTGATCGGTATGTAACAACGGTACTTTCGGACGATTCTCGTACGTACGAAATACTTATTGCACAATATTTTCATCCAATGCCGATTTGTGTGCATAAAATGTTATCATCTCGATTTCATCGGTGTTGTGGAGTCTCGCGCCTGTGTTTTATGTTGTGTCCGTAGTGCAATGTACCTTTATTTTTTACAAAATTCCAGTTTCGATGTAAACTGCAGCTCTTGGGGAAAAATGTCATTTTCTCGGTAACTCGTTTAAGAAAAAAAAAAAAAAAAAAAAAATGATAAATTCGCAATGAAACACTTTTTTCCCTATTAGCTTGATAATTGCCGTATGATTGTATTTATCGTGACCGGGTGATAGTTTTCCAATGATCGTCGACATAAGTATACTCACCAGTAAGTCGCGCTTAGTCCCGACGAGGAAGATGTGATAAGGTCCGGTGTTGCTGTGATTCGCCTCGTTCAGCCACTGATTGCAATGATGCAGCGACATGAGGCTTCCCAAATCGAAGACTATCATGATTACTGAAATTTTTGCATTCAACGGCTGTATATCATCATCATCACTTGCACGAAATTATCGTTATCCCGAATAAGTAGTATAGTAATACAAGCGTTGGTTAAATTATTACCATTAGCTCCCCTGTAGTACGACGCAGCGATGCATTTAAACCTCTCCTGGCCCGCCGTGTCCCAGCTAAGTGAGGACAGAGAAAGACAAATCACCGATAAATTACCCAGCCACGTTAATCACCTACTTTTTTTGTCCACGAATGCTCGATTCTTTAATTTGTTCATTGTTCGTGCAACTAAAGTGTGTGTGGGGGGGGGGGGAGAATAAACGTGATCACACGCATTTTCGTTGCTTCAATTACAATTGAATTGTCGTGCAGTTGAAAATGGATCGGCGTCATATACGTACATTTGCAAGTTGAAAGGAACGCCGAGTATGTCGAATCTCTCGACTTCGAAGTCGACGCCGATCGTTGCCTTGTAATTGTTGTCGAACGACTTGTGACAGAATCTAGAATTTGAGCGACATCCGATGAAACTTTTATTGCGTACATTTTTTCAATACTTTCATGTTCATGAAGCGTTGAAGGATAAAAAAAAAAGAACTTGTTTGCTTCCATTGCTGAACAACAACTTTGCGTTAGATACGAATGTAACAATATTTGTACAGAAAAATGAAATATTAAAAATGTACCCAAAAATACACGCGAAAACCCAAAATAGTATGAACTATGAGATGATTTTTGGTACAATAGAGGGATTTTCGAGACGATGTTTAAAAATGAATTTGTAGAGATGACAGGTACAGACACATGGAACGAGAAACTTTAATTAATTTTGAGCTCCAAGTGAAATTGCAAAATAAAATTGAAGAAAACGCACGACGAGGGCGCGCATCTCTCAAAACACTTGTATATATATACGTTAATATGGATAAAATCTGGGGAGCTGTTGAGAAAATTCACGATCACCGAAGAAAAAAAAGAAAAAAAAAAAAAAAAAAAAGGGGGGGGGGGGGGAGGAGGAACCCACAGACAGAATGAGCTGTGGAGAGACGGAGAGGGAAAGGCAAACTCTTTTGCCACCTNAAAAAAAAAGCGCCGAGCAAGTGGGTGGACAGAGCGTATACGTATAAATTATACCCAGCAGGAAAGTGCCTTTCACGTGTTTCCCAACACGCGCGGGCTATATACGCATCCTGCAGCGCTCTGCCGTCCCAATGGGGAGAGAAAAAAAAAAAAAAAAAAATTATTTCAGCAATGGGAGTAAACGAGCGAGACCCTCCTCGCGCGTATGTGTTATACAGTAAGAGGAAGCTCTCTCTCTCTGCAGGCAGAGCAATATTATTATTATCTTCCCTCGCCATCGTGTATACATATATATATACCCATACACTTACCGATTGACCAAGCTGGTCTTACCGACCGCGACGTCCCCCAGCACGATGACTTTCGAAATGCGGGGAAGAAGCGGCTGGGCGGCGCAAACCCGGCGCACTGCTCCGCTGAAGTCGCGCTCCTGATACGGTGTTTTGTCCCCTGCGTATGGTACCGGCCACTTGCGTATCTGAGGAAAAATCACGAGAAAAAAAAAAAGAGATAAAGAAAATTAATCGAGTCGTATGTTACATTGCCGATGAAGCTCGGTGCGAGGCCGATTTCCGGTTTCTTGCGCGGATCGGTTGGTTTCGTCGTGTTTTTGTTGACGAGCTGTCGCGGATATTACGCGCTCGTGTACATATGTGATAAGTATCGGTCCACGGGGATGATGTAGAGCCAAGGAGGCCGTTTACTTCGTGGTGTTTGTGTTTCGTTAACGGCAGTGCCAATCTGTACGGGCGGTTTATGATATACGTCTCTGGCGCGTATCGCGAATCTAGTTTCTCGATCGCGCGGAATGAGCGTTTTACATTCAACGATGGACATTGCTTTTACATATATAGGGTACACACCTAATATACTTGTTCATCAAGTTTTCATCTTTTTTTTTTTGTTTTGTTTTTTTTTTACACCCATCCGTTGAATCTCCATCGGTTATTGGGGACAAACGGTCAAAGTACTGTATATACATATTTTACAATTAATCATTAGACACCTACGTAGATAATTAAAATAACAACAATGTATGTGCAAGTAAGTTGGTAAGTTTTTTTGGGACGATTGGTACACAAAATTTCTACGTAATTTGGGTAAAAACGCGTAATATGCTATCTTTTGATTTTTCAAAATGTTGCATGTACACAATCCGATGCACGTATATTATAACTCGCGATAAGTATAGGTGTATGCATTAAGTATTACCAGGTTGCGGGTAGGTATAATAGTAGTAATAACGCAGTTGCAGGAATGTACCTTTTTTCAAAGTCACGAATCATCTTTACATTGTTCGATGAAATACGCGTGTTCCCGGTCCCGTAGTATAAAAAGTATACACTGCACGTGTGTACTCGTAATAATAGACATACTGCAGTGTACCTATATACATATAAAAAAAGATAAAGAAAAACCCCCATTTTTAAATCCACCGTATCGCCGGGTCGAGCAAAAGGGTATAGTGCTGTGATTTCACGCTTGAACAAATAGATTTGCCTGTGTACCTAAGTATACTTAATATTTGTTCTCTTGAAATTGCATGCTCGACATACATGTTGTGGATGCATCGATTGGGTACCTTTACTATGTACTTATCTACACACTGGAGATAATCTTCCCTACACACGACGCGCATTTTTACGTAGGTATAAGTACAGTTTTGCATTTAAAAAGACCGTTTGTTTTGGAAGATTAAAACTAGTTTATTTCCACTCGAAATATTTGTTTTACGGTTGACACAATGACTTTTTCGTTGTACCAGTGATTTGGTGGATTTTTTGTTTTTTTTGTTTTGTTATTCACTTAAAAAAGAAGAATGTTGTGAGCTTAGTAGCACGGAAACGGCTAAAAAATGACACGCGTGCGGATCATGTGTGTATACAAATAGAAAGAAAAAGGGGTGAAACTTAATTTAACTACAAAAAAAAAAAAAAAAACAAAAAAAAAAAAAAACAAGCATTTACCGTGCGGTCACTGCTAACGTCGCTGTTCATCATCTTGTAAATCGCCGATCGGGTCTCTAACATATCCAATCAAACCACCATCGAACGATCGGTAAAAAAACCTCTCTCCCCCTGTTGACGAAGGGATTCTCCTTGGGGGGGAGGGCCACCTTTTACATTATTTTTTCTTCTTCTTCTTCTTCTTTGTTTCCTCCAATTGTATGGTTAAACTGCACTTTTGGACGAAACGAAACAAAATACGATTTCTCGGTAACCTGCACCAAAGCGACGGAGAGGCACAACAAACGCAAAAATAAACACGTATATAAGGGGAGGAGACACTATACACGGGCGGACCGAGGTGGTTACCGCGACAGGTGCTCCGAGCCAAGTGCGCGTGGGTGCGGATACACGCTTAGGTTTATACGCTTGCTTGGGCCCCCATGCGACTACCGCGTACTTACTATCCTATGTAGAATATGGAGTGTGCAATGCATATATACGCTTTATGCAAAGAGTATAAGTATTTTTTTTTTTTCAAGAGGGAAACGACGCTTTTTTTTAAGCTGGTGGTGCATCCGAGCTATCACATATGGTAATTTACACACGAGTATCGGTAATCGGAGTATCGGACAATCGGATAAAGAGGAGGGACTGAGGGAGGATAAAGGATGTGTGCAGTTTGTCATTATACGTGCATGCATGGCTTTTTGTTTGCGGCTGTACATGTAATCACAAAAAAGATGTGCGTGCGCGTATAGAAACGCGTCCAATGTACTTACTTATTGTAAGAGGAGGTAACATCCTTTGTTCCCAAAGTTAAAGATAATGCGGTGACGATGTTTTTTTTTTTTTTTTTTTTTTTTTTTACGTGAATATGTTTTAGTTTTTTTAGTTTTTTAACGTTTAATAGATACTCCATGTTATTAAAATCATACTAGGCCAGTGTATGTATAGGCTTCGGGACGTATTGAATTTGAATTGTAGGTACATATTTCGTGTATGTGTTTCTTTAACTTTGAAAGTGCACATGTAAATAAATTTTCTTTGTCTCTCAAGATTAATCAACAAATCACAACTAATTTCATTTTTTATTCATCAATGTAACATTCAAAATACACCATATAGACTGGTAAATATGTATGTATATCATTCATTCATTAATTGGGCCTTGACAGTTTTTTTTACAATTCTAATCAAAACAAACTTCCATAATGTCCAATCGAAACATATTTCCCATCGATTACGAGATAGTAAACAAATTTGATGTCATGTTAACATTGTCACTAGAAAAATAAACTACCTTTTTCATCTTAAAAATAAGTTGTACATGCAACGGTGAAGTAAACGAATTTCAAAACGTGCCGCATACCCGCGCGCAAGAAAGTTCGCAGTTTCAGCTATAGCTAGTTTGTAAACATACAGCACACTGTCGTCACAGTTTTTATTTTTATTTACTAGCTATTTTTTCTTTAACACGATGTCGGTAAGTAACGCAAACAAATTATTTAAATTAAAAAGCAACCTTACACAAATAAACATTAATACTTTAATCTTCATTCTATTTCAGACACAAAAGTTACAGGTAAAACATTTCTTCTAAAGCTAACCTATAATGTGTAATTTTTCGATGTTATTCTAATTATACTTTTACTGTCTCATTGTCTAAGTATACCATAAATTGACACGTTGATATTTATGTACAGAACTCCCAAGGAGATAATAAGGATAAAGAAAAGAAGAGGAAAGAAAGCATTCTCGACCTATCAAAGTATCTGGAGAAAAGCATCAGGGTAAAGTTTGCAGGTGGCAGAGAGGCATCAGGAATATTAAAGGGCTATGATCCACTTTTGAATCTTGTGTTGGATAGCACAGTGGAGTATCTTAGAGGTTGGCATCACATAATTAGTTTAGTTTATTAGTGGTCAATAATAATTCAATTATAATTCTTTATTATTTTCCTACAGATCCAGATGATCCACACAAACTTGATCAGAACACACGTTCCCTAGGTCTAGTTGTTTGCAGAGGGACGTCCGTTGTACTGATATGTCCTCTTGAAGGGATGGAATCGATCCCAAATCCATTTACACAACAAGAAAATGCATAACCATTTAGGTTCTTACTGTGGTCATTTTATATGTTTTTGTAAGATTGTTATGTAAATAACAACAAGCGCATTATTATTTTTCTACTTAAAAAAAAAACAATTTCTGTGTAAGCATTGTGGAATGCTGTAAATACTTATGATCAGGAGTAATTCTAATTACATTAATATATGTAGTTTTTTTTTTCAGTGATATATTTTGGTATATTATACTTATTTAAGTAAAATAATCAAAGTTGAAGTATTGATAAGTAAATTGAATCTTACACTAAAGATTAAAACTAAGAATAAAGTTAACGAGTTAAAAAATAAACACTAGCCTTGTGTAAATTTACTTATTTTTCTTATTGTATTCAGCCCTCCAATCTCAATGAAAAATTTGTTTTTATTGTTCCCTATTCCGACTTATCAAATAAATCAAAGAATTTTCAAATGTGAGGTGTACAAATCGAGAGAGAGAAAAGATGGTAAAGCCATCATGAGAGAGAGAAAGATAAAAAAGGTACCGTCGCGACCTCTACAATTAAAGTTGTGAATGACTGCTGATGCCGTGTGGCGCTGTCTTGGGTTTTCTCTTTCACAATCGTCGTCATGGCTCCTAAACCGAAGCCCACGGAAAAAGCAGGTAATTTTCAAGTAATATTATTGATTAAAACCATTTTGAAAATATTAAAATATATCGCGAAGTAGTATAAAAATTTTTAAATCAACCATCAAGAAGTAATTTCTTAGTGCCTTAACAAATTCTCTTGCAACGATCTGACCCGCTCGGACCACATGGTCAGTACTCTTGAAAGCTCGGATCTGACATTTCTCGTTTCTTACACCTCAATAAAAAACGAACAATGCATGAACACGTAAATATGCAATCTGTACTCGATGAAACACATTGATTAATATCTTGGTTACTATTCCCGTGCTTTCCCTACATCATAAACAAACGAGCGTCAAACCTAACCTCAAACCACTTGATCAAAACAGTCACCCTATCAATCATTGCATTTTTTGATGTTTTCAGCGAGTAAGCCCGCCGAGAAGAAGGCGGAGAAGAAGCCAACCGCAGCTGCTCCCTCCACTTCGAGCTCCAAGGTGACGAAGCAAGACAAGAAGGCTGCACCAGCCCCTGCAGCAGCTAAGAAAGTGGTGGAAGCAGCTGCTGCCTCTGCTTCAAAGACAGCAGCCAAACCCGCCCCCAAGCCTGCAGCCAAATCTGCAGCTAAACCCGCTGCCAAGTCAGGTGCCAAGACTGCTGCCAAGCCTGCCGCCAAGCCTGCCGCTAAGCCTGCTGCCAAGCCTGCTTCTAAGCCAGCAGCACAAAAGTCGGCGCAAAAGACAGCAGCCAAGCCCGCAGCTAAGCCTGCAGCTCCAAAAACCGCTGCCAAGTCTGTTGCTGCCAAGCCAAAGAAGCCTGCCCAGCAGCAGCAACAGCAGAAGAAAACACCCAAGGGTGGAAAACTTGTACAACCTGTTCAAAAGGCTCTCAAAGTACAGAAAAAGGTATTTATGATATCAGTCTTGCAGTACCACATTGCTCGGATTTCTGATTTTAAAGATTAAATCTAGTTTTTGTCGGTTTTTATTTGACTGAGTTGTGCTTGTTACTAAAATTTATTTATGGTCAGTTCTTAAAACATGATGATTGTTAAGTATGGGAATCTCTTTGAATTCTATGAAATGATACTTTTAATACAATACTGAATTCATTAAAAACCGTGACAGTCATCAGAATCGACAACATGGTTAAGGGCATATTTAACGTTAAAATTTTCTATTGTTTAGGTTCTCAAAGGCACCAATGGCACCCGTGTCAGGAAAATCAGGACATCAGTCCACTTCCATCGTCCAAAGACCTTCAAACCTCCAAGGAATCCAAAATATCCACGAAAATCGGTGCCCAAGCGCAGCAGGTAAGAAAAATACCGCAACTATAGATTTTTGAGTACAATTGTTAACTCGAAGCATTTATATTATGATGAGTATTTTTGGGAATCTCTTTGAATTTCTTTGAAAACAACCAATATAAATTCTGATATGTGTTGCACGACAAAATTTTGTACTCTAGTAAGCAAGAGTTGCTCTTAAATACTTATTTTTATTTGTAGGATGGATGCTGTCAATATTATCAAGTTCCCATTGACTACCGAAGCGTCAATGAAAAAAATCGAAGACAACAACACGTTGGTATTTATTGTTCACAAGCAGGCCAACAAACATCACATAAAGTCTGCTGTTAAAAAGCTGTACGACGTCGATGTACTAAAAGTCAATACGCTTATTAGGCCAGATTCAATGAAGAAAGCTTATGTACGATTGACACGGGATTATGATGCTCTTGATGTTGCTAACAAGATTGGCATCATATAAATGTTAATAATTTACAACTTATAAATAAAAGAATTTATAAGAAACCACAAAGATTTTCATTGTGCTTTTATATTCCATTTCTACTTTTCAAAATTAATTTACAAAATTCAATTACTCTTTGTTTTCTTACCTGTTTAAAATTGAAATAAAAAAAAATTAATCTATTAGTATGATGTATTATTGTTACCTCATATATACAAACAAAGTGATTAACGTAAATACATAAAAATTTTATTTTACAATACAAATTATGTACAGAATAAATTATTATACAAAATAGTTGTTTTTCACTGTTTACAACCCCAAGGTTCTCGGAGTTTTCCGATACGACGCTGGGGTCCCAGGCTCTCTCACACCCGGAGTCAATATTTCTTGTCTGAAAAAAAATCCAGTAGAGTGGTGGATTGTACTTTAATATGCTTACGAAATTAGTAATCAGTCCAAACAATCTCACCTTCTAACCGATGCCTGTTCGCGCTCTAATTGTTCTTGTGCACGCGCTTTGATTTCCGACTCGGCTTCCTTCATTTGGCTTTCCATCTCGTTGAGGTGCTGAAGCGCTTGTTTCTTCGATCGGCCGTTTTTACCCGTTTCCTTGACACTGAAGAACATTGGTCCAAGTTCGGCAAGCCAGTAGCCGTCTACTGCAGTGACGCACTGCATGTATTCTTTGGCCGTCATCACGAGCTCATGGTACACAACGTAATCTGGAGTGAAACCCATGCCAAAGAGGGCTGAAGTAGGATGCAGAGAGCAGGGCATGCCAGTTCGAAGATTGACATACTCTCCTATACCCTTGAGACGTGCGGCTTGATGGAAATAGGCCGAACAGATGCATTTGCGGACAATGTCCCAGTCTGTACCACAGCTTGTCACTTCCATTTTCTGTTGTTTCAGGATTTCTTCCAGTTGTTGACGTACTTCTCGGACCTGAATGAAATTAGAAACTTAGCCTACGTACTTTTAACATCGAATACACATCCCAGAATTCTTATTACCTTTCTCATTGCCTTGGCGTGAATGAAATGATCAGTGCACCAGCTGCTACTGTACCCATTTGTCTTCCACTGGTTGTAAACGTTCAAGAAAGTTAGATGATCAGATTCAGGTACCTGAAACTTTTCTCTAGCGGAATCCGAGTCCTCCTCGCGCCCCTTAGGTCGGTAAAATATGGACGGTACCGATAGCATAGATACTATGATTAATATTTCAGAGGTACAGCCAAGATTCGAGGCAGTAATCAGCATCTGACACTGGGGTGGATCAAGCGGGAACTCGGCCATCTGTCTACCGAGCGTCGTGAGACGCCCGGTGTTGTCCAAAGCACCAAGGATCCACAGTTGGTAAAGCGAGTTGAGAATATTGTCTTGAGGTGGTGGATCCATGAAGTGGAAGGCCAGCAGATCTTGAACGCCTAGTGATTTCAATAACAATACTGTGTTGGCCAGATTTGTACGCTGGATTTCAGGCACTCCAGTTGGAAGTAATTCGTCCATGTATTGGCGCTCGGTGTAGAGACGGAAGCACTGGCCTGGCCCTGTACGTCCGGCACGACCAGCCCTCTGGTTTGCGTTTGCTTGAGATACAGGGTATATCTGCAGTGCGTCCATACCTGTTGACCAAATGGTCCATTAAATTAATTGCAAAAGCTCGTAAACTCAATAAAATGCTTAGTTATGGGCAAACTACTACCCCAACTTACCAATCCTCGGATTGTAGACTTTAAGCTTGCAGTAGCCAGAGTCGACGACAAAGACAATGCCGTCGACGGTGAGCGAAGTCTCGGCAATGTTGGTGGCCACGACGCACTTGCGCAGGCCTTCTTTTGCCTGTTGGAAAATCTTAGCCTGTAGATCGGAGGGCAGCTGTGAGTAAATCGGCAGTATGGAAAGAGGTGCCGCGCCTTCGATTTCATTCAAGCGTTCTTTGAGAACTTCGCAGGTCACCTCAATGTCTTCTTGACCGGGCATGAACACCAGGACGTCACCCATGCGGTGCTGCAAATGGATCGTCATTACCTGCTTGACAGCCGTCTCTACGTAATCTTCGACGTGATTTTTGAAAAAAACTTTGTCAACGGGAAAGGTACGCCCGGGAATGATAAACGTGGCAGCGTTTCCGAAAAACGACGAGAACTTGTCCGAGTCCATCGTGGCCGAGGTGACGATGAGTTTGAGATCATGGCGTCGAGATACGACTTCTCTGAGCAAGCCAAATAACACGTCAGTGGAGAGAGAACGTTCGTGAGCTTCGTCCATGATGACGACGCTGTAGCGATCGAGGTCACCCTCGCGCAAGCTCTCTCGAAGCAAGATTCCGTCAGTCATGTACTTGATAACGGTTTCCTTGGACGTGCAGTCTTCGAATCGAATGGCGTAGCCAACTTTTTCTCCTAGGGTTGAGTCCATTTCATCGGACACCCTCTTGGCTACGGACATGGCAGCCACTCTTCTGGGCTGAGTGCAACCGATCATACCATTTGTCGTGTATCCCTCCTCATGGAGGTACTGCGTCAATTGAGTGGTTTTACCGCTACCGGTCTCACCAACGATTATTACAACACTATTTTCGCGGATGACGTTTAAAAGTTCTTCTCTGACCGCAAAGACGGGCAATCGTCGCCTCGACTCTTGTATCTTTCGGAACTTTCCCTCTGTTACCTTGCCGTCGTCGGAGATAAAGTTGGCGTACTTCTGGCCAGCTTTGAAGTCTGTTTCTTGGTCAGGTTTTTCACGGTCGTTTTTACGAGCATCTTGCACGCCCATAATATTGCCAAGATTTGTCCCTGCAAGTTCCCAGTGCTTTTTTTGCGCCCGTTTCCGTTCCTTTTGTTCTCGGTAAGCTTTCACCAAAGCTGAGCCCTTCCTGGAAACCTGAGCCATCGGAGATGTTGGATCTCGGACTGGTATCACTGGCTCTGGTTGTTTTGTAAATACAATGCGTCCTGCAGTGAAGAGAACAAAATTGAAAATTTGAGTTGTGACAGTGACAAAGTTTTGAGTAATCTATCAATATTTGTTACTGACCATCCAAAAACGGTGGTATGACATTGTGCACCAAAAGATGAACTCTAGCTTCTGCTTCATCGTCAACGTCATCGTCATGGTCCAGTGAACTGACAACACCGGATGTTAACATTCGGTTTCTCTCCCACAACTCGTTATCTTTATTTATTTGACGTTGCTGTGCAGACATTCTTTTACGTTTTTTAGCTTCCAATTCTGCTTCCTTCTTCTGCAAATACTCCTCAGATACATCTTCAAAATGTTTGGAATCATCATCACCTAGCCCATACCATTCACGATCGAGTCTAAAAATATTAAAAAAGAATCAGTATATACATAATTTCAACAGAGCAAAGAAAACTTCAAATTTTTATATAAAGCTTGACACCTTTTTTGCTCCTGCTCCCATAGTTCTCTTTCTTCACCATCAATCATGGGAGTAGCTCCAGAGGTCTTTCTCTCCTTGGCCCAAGAATTAAACTTGTAAGAAGGAGTGAATTCACTTCTTATGCTTGTATCCCTTGGATCCCTATTGGAATAAATATTTGGAGTAGGATAGTCCCAAGTTGACCTCCTCCTTGGAGTATCACTATCATCTTCATCATCCCAGCTAGACTTTGAAGTTGGATCCTTGAAGCAATAATCAATGCATTGTTGAAAATCAGTATTTACATTTATCAAAGTCACTTCTAATGAACCATGATACAAAAGATACATACCCTCAGTTTATAATACTTAGGAGTTTGAGGCTCATCAGAAAATCTTGGGGTCCAATCTCTGCGGCTACTTCTATCTCCCCTGTCTCTGTAGTGATTTCTATCCCTATCTCTACTTCTATCGTGACCTTTTTCTCTGCTAGAATTTCTCCTTCTATCCTTATCTTTGTCCTTAGAATGTTTATCCAGCCGCTGACGTTTCAGCCTAGCTTCCATCTTCTCTCTGGTAGGTGTATCAACTCCACCTGTATGAGTGGGAGTCTCTTCAGCATAGCTCCTGTATCTTCTTTCTTTGTAATTTTGAGAGTCTGAGGACTTTTTGAGATTATTAGGCTCCAAAGAGTTCTCCCGGCGCTTTCTTTCTGCCAATTTATCCAGACCAAGTATGGAAGTCTGCGGTTTCTTGAACGTGTGATCCGACGGCTTTTTTGTGATGACCAAACCACCAACCTCATTATCAATTGTACCTTCTAATCTATACAATTCCGTATCTTCCATGTTATGTTTAGATCCACTTGTGTGGTACGGCTACACCAACTGTCATTAGTTTTTTTAACCTTTTTTAGTACAAATTATGCAAACACAGTTGAGAAACCACTTGATTTTATTTTACTATTTCACTAACAAAGTGCGACAAAACATCCAATTCCACTCGGATGTACACAAGCTTTAATTTGTTACGCTACTTAACTGCGTATAATATCAGTTGCATAAATCATAATAAAAACTCAGTTGCGGCTGGTTTATAATTGATTACTAGTTGATTACATGGCCCCACGCTCCACACTGTATTAGGGATATATAATATATATATAATAACAATTTATTGGATCAGCGCCATCTAGCGTTGCAGATTTCTGAACTAAAAAGTGGCCCTAGAATTCTGAAGGAGAGCTTTAGCCCTTAGAGACACTTAGTCTAATATAAACCAGCCGCAACTCATGACGAAGCTATAAAGTAAAAAAATAATAATACATGTGTTTTTGGCGGCAAGTTAACAATCTATCTTATGCTTGAAAATTCATCTTTAAAAGTATAAACACATATAAGATCAAATTTTTGGTAGAAAATAGATTGTTGACTTGCCGCCAAAAACACACGTATAATTATTTTTTTATTTTATAGCTACAAATTAAGTTGCGGCTGGTTTATAATAGGCTAAGTGTCTCTAAGGGCTAAAGCTCTTCTTCAGAATTCTAGGGCCACTTTTTAGTTCAGAAATCTGCAACGCTAGATGGCGCTGATCCAATAAATTATTACAGTAGAGCCTTGTAATCAATTATAAACCAGCCGCAACTTATTTAATAGATACAAAATCAAAAGTTGACATTATCTGTGCTATTTGCGGCAAGAATACAAATTGTCATTTACCCGAAAATTGACCTCCAAAAGTACATAGATATTCTAATTATTTAGTTTAATAAAATCAACCATATGGCACTACTTAGTAATGATTACGATAATTACTACACACAACTTCACGTATAGCTTACACCGTGCTCTTTTTATCAGAATAATAAAATCAGAGACTGTAAGTATGCCGCAAATGCTACGAGCGGGTAAATTACGTAGGTCGTGGTAACGCCGCATGGTCGGGCAGCACTAGCGTCGACCTGTACTACGTCGACCCTTAACTAAACTAACTAACTCTAACTCTATGCAAAAAGCAAAAATGCAATTTCACAGTGAAAGTTCATACAAAGTGGAATAGTAAACCTTTTGAAGTTTAATCAAGTTTTTTTGTTTTGCTGCACAAAAAAATGAGTGCAAATACCAAAAGGACAATTTACGTTGGTATGTTCTTTAGAAAATAGTTTATTATGTCTGTCCGTTATAGTAAACTGCTCATTTAATGGAAAAGAAGCATTTTTTGTTAACTTTATAACATTTATTTTCTTATTACTACTATTTATTGCTTATGTAACAGGAATCTTATTTATTATGTTACTCGAGCAGATTTTTTTTTTTTAATTTCCAAGTGCATGAAAATTTATTTAATAAAACTACTCTACTTTTGAAGGAGGCCTAGCAGAAGAAGTAGACGAAAAGATTTTAAATGCAGCTTTCATTCCATTTGGTGAAATAGTAGATGTTCAAATACCATTGGATTATGAATCTGAAAAACACAGAGGATTTGCATTTATTGAATTTGAATCGGCGGAAGATGCTGCAGCAGCAATAGATAATATGGTAAGCATGGATGAAATAATATTTATAAACAGTCTTCTGTAATAAGTAATAATCTTTCTTCAAAGAATGATTCAGAATTATTTGGACGCACGATTAGAGTGAATATTGCTAAGCCACAGAAAATTAAAGAAGGTTCTTCCAAGCCTGTTTGGGCTGATGATGTTTGGCTGCAAGAACATGCTGGTGAAACGTTAAACATCGGAGACGAGGCAGCTGACAAAACAGACAACAATAAAGATGGAAGCACGAAAGGAAAACAAAATCCACAGGTTTACTTTGATATAAATGTTGGCAAGCAAGAACTAGGAAGAATCATTATGATGCTGAGAGCAGATATTGTTCCAAAAACCGCAGAGAATTTTCGCTGTTTGTGCACTCATGAAAAAGGTTACGGATATCAGGGCAGTACATTCCACAGAATTATTCCAGAATTCGTATCCTTTGCAACAAATATATTAAATAAGGTGTTTGTTCTCAAATTTTTTTTATGTCATTCCTTATCTTACAATTAGATGTGTCAAGGTGGAGATTTCACTAATCACAATGGTACAGGAGGCAAATCAATATATGGTCGTAAATTTGAGGATGAAAATTTTGAACTTAAACATGTAGGGCCAGGAACACTGTCAATGGCCAATTCTGGAGCAAATACCAATGGATCACAATTCTTTTTATGCACAGCGCGCACAGAGTGGTTAGACGGAAAGCACGTTGTATTTGGACATGTTTTGAGTGGTTTGGATGTGTTGAAAAAAATGGAAAAGTATGGTACCAAAGGTGGAACCCCCTCGCAAAAAGTTGTGATAGCTTCTTGTGGAGAACTTACTTAACACTAGTTCTCGGTGGTTTTATAAACTTGAGCTATTTATAAATTATTTTTACAAAACAATACTGACTTGTTTAAAAGTTTTTTTTTACAAAAACCTAATTTTCCCATAGAAATACTTTACAATTGTAAGGTAATTTTTTTTTATTAATATTTGAAGTTTTACATTGCTTTATGCTTACATACATATATACGCCTATTTACAAAAATATCATTGTACAAAATAGTACTGTAAAAATAGTTGTACAATTAATTAATTTGACTAACATCACGTCAGCGTCTATCACGATCTCTTCTCCTATCCCTGTCTCTATCTCTGTCCCTTTCCTTATCGCGTTCTCTGTCTCTATCACGTTCTCTTTCTCTGTCCCTTTCCCTATCTCGACGACCTTTGTCCCTGTGTCTATCTTTCTCTCTTTTCCTTTCTCTGTCTCGTCTGTCTCGAGACCTAGACTTGCTCCTAGATCGACCTCGATCCTTTTTGTCCGAACGCGAATGCCTCTTTGACTCTCGTTCTCGGTAACGATCTCTCTCTCTTTCATACTCTTCTATCCGTTTCATGTGTTCGCTAGGTGGAATAGCCAGTTCCTCATCCTCTGAACTCTCCATGTTTTCGTCGTCATCATCCAGTGCAGATACTCTGGGCTCTGTACAATTTACAATGTATAATACCATAAAGTTAAATTGAAAACGTAATAAAAATGTGAGTTTTTGTTCAACGAAATAAAACATTACCTAGTTCATTGTTTTCTTCGAGCACATGCCTCTTTTGAATTCTGGGCAATATGATATCGCAGTTTCGCTCATCTCGCAAGAGACCATCAATAAACTCGTCCATGTGCAAAAGTTCAAATTCTCCTTCCCTATTTTGCTTTCGCAATTTTCTGTAATCATGTAGCAAAGGCTCCAGATAACGATAAACGTCCAAAGACGTGCCTGTCAAACGCATGTAAAATGCACCTAGTGCTCGGGTGTACTTGAATTCCTCCTGTTTGATAAATTCAACTATAATGTCTTTTTCTGGCTGAATTTGAAGCAACTTGAGGATCAAGCACAAGAACGGTGTGGGCTTTACATTGCCACCATAAACACCCCCTATGAACCTAATGAATAAACGAAATTTGTAACAAATACTGCGGTCAGGAATCTTACTGTCACAAGGCTACATTGGGAAAAAAAATATATTTACCTTAACTCCATGGCTTTGTCGACCAGAAGTTCGGCCGTGAGAGCAAAACATTCTTCTTTCCAGTATTTGCTGTCATATATTCTGGATCTAATGATCTTCTCGATCAGATACTGAGGATTCGTACCACGAATCGATTTCGCGTCTTTAACTGTTCGATTGGCCATGTTTTTTCAATTATAAACTATGTATGAAACAATTTATAATTACATAACCTTGCCTTGTACACAGAAAAACAATACACAACAAGGCATTTCGTCATCAACACAAAGCAAAAGGAGCAGAAGCAGACTGAAATTAAAGAGTGAACGCCGTTCGGCGTACGGCGTTCTCCACTCAACTCAACGCATTAAAATGATACACCTGTCTCACTCACACTGAAAGATACAAGATACAAAAGTGCGAAGAATCTTCACTCTTCAGTCCATTGAAGATATGTGTAGGTATAATAATCACTAAGTACTACGTACTTACGTAGTACGTAGTGCCATATGGTTGATTTTATTAAACTAAATAAGTAGAATATCTATGTACTTTTGGAGGTCAATTTTCGGGTAAATAACAATTTGTATTCTTGCCGCAAATAGCACAGATGATGTCAACTTTTTATTTTGTATCTATTACATAAGTTGCGGCTGGTTTATAATTGATTACAAGGCTCTACTCTAATAATTTATTGGATCAGCGCCATCTAGCGTTGCAGATTTCTGAACTAAAAAGTGGCCCTAAACTTTTGAACCAGAGCTTTGTCGCTTGGAGCCACTTAACCTATTATAAACCAGCCGCAACTTCTTTTGTAACTATAAAATGAAAAAAATAACGATACATGTGTTTTTGGCGGCAAGTTAACAATCTATTTTTTACCAAAAAATCGACCTCCTATGTGTTTATACTTTTAAAGATGAATTTTTAAGCATAAGATAGATTGTTAACTTGCCGCCAAAAACACATGTATTATTATTTTTTTACTTTATAGCTTCGTCATGAGTTGCGGCTGGTTTATAATTGAGTAAATTGCTCTAATCCTGAATGCTCTGATTGAGAATTTTAGGAGCCACTTTTGGCCAAAAAATAAAGACCGCTAGATGGCGCTGATCCAAA